GTGCAAATGTAACAATGTAATGACCCTGTTCCGGTTCAAGTAGATGCACGTGGTGCAGCAGTGTCAGCCCCGACTGGTTTGGTGTTTGCGGGTGTCCACCATAGCTTTTTTTCCGGATAGTTGCATTGGATGCAACTTGTTGAATGGATCCCGGATCTCGTGTTCTGCACAGGCTTTTCGAGACATGTTCTGTGAAGATCTGCGAGCCATTTAAGCTCCCGTAGACATGTAATTGGAAGTAGCAGGAGGACGAGAAGCACGAGGACGCAGAGAATGAGGAGGCAGAAGATGTGCCTGAGGAAAAGATGCAACAAGAGGAGGAAACAACGGAATCAGAGGAGGACGAGATGTCAGAGGACTGATTGAATTGACATGGTTGCCAGCTACTACTTCATACATTGGAGATCTTTGGAGTATAGAATGAGCAAAGTGGAGCTAAGCAGCTAATCTGCTAAGCCTGTATCTGAAGTCACTAGTCGAGCCGGTTGATATTTATCAATCTTCCAATATGGTTTCCTGTCGCAGAGACCTTTCCAAGCTGGTTCCAGGATGTCATTTGATATGGGTTTGTTATGTTGAACACTGCAGTTTTAGTGAGAACATGATGATCAACCACAAGATGTTTGGACATCCTCATCATTATCATGCCAGGATATGCTAGGTATTTGCTGATACATGCTGTGTCTTTCCAGCATCCGCTTGTGAACCTGTTGATTACAGGACGCTGCCCCAGAGCATGCTCCCGTCGAGGACATGGGTTGAATAGACTGCTATGGCAAAACTTAGCTTTCCTATGCTTTTCTGATCTTTTCTGTGATGGGAGTGCAAATGTAACAATGTAATGACCCTGTTCCGGTTCAAGTAGATGCACGTGGTGCAGCAGTGTCAGCCCCGACTGGTTTGTTTTTTGCAGGTGTCCACCATAGCTTTTTTTCCGGATAGTTGCATTGGATGCAACTTGCTGAATGGATCCCAGATCTCGTGTTCTGCACAGGCTTTTCGAGACATGTTCTGTGAAGATCTGCGAGCCATTTAAGCTCCAGCAGACATGTATTTGGAAGTAGCAGGAGGACGAGAAGCACGAGGACGCAGAGAATGAGGAGGCAGAAGATGTGCCTGAGGAAAAGATGCAACAAGAGGAGGAAGCAACGGAATCAGAGGAGGACGGGATGTCAGAGGACTGATTGAATTGACATGGTTGCCAGTTACTACGTCATATTACTTCTTCATACATTGGAGATCTTTGGAGTATAGAATGAGCAAAGTGGAGCTAAGCAGCTAATCCGCTAAGCCTGTATCTGAAGTCGTCACTAGTCGAGCCGGTTGATATTTGTCAATCTTCCAATATGGTTTCCTGTCGCAGAGACCTTTCCAAGCTGGTTCCGGATGTCATTTGATATGGGTTTGTTATGTTGAACACTGCAGTTTTAGTGAGAACATGATGATCAACCATAAGATGCTTGGATATCCTCATCATTATCACGCCAGGATATTTTATGTATTTGCTGATGCATGCTGTGTCTTTCCAGCATCTGCTTGTGAACCTGTTGATTACAGGACGCTGCCCCAGAGCATGCTCCCGTCGAGGACATGGGTTGTATAGACTGCTATAGCGAAACATGGCTTTCCTATGCCTTTCTGATCTTTTCTGTGATGGGAGTGCAAATGTAACAATGTAATGACCCTGTTCCGGTTCAAGTAGATGCACGTGGTGCAGCAGTGTCAGCCCCGACTGGTTTGGTGTTTGCGGGTGTCCACCATAGCTTTTTTTCCGGATAGTTGCATTGGATGCAACTTGTTGAATGGATCCCGGATCTCGTGTTCTGCACAGGCTTTTCGAGACATGTTCTGTGAAGATCTGCGAGCCATTTAAGCTCCCGTAGACATGTAATTGGAAGTAGCAGGAGGACGAGAAGCACGAGGACGCAGAGAATGAGGAGGCAGAAGATGTGCCTGAGGAAAAGATGCAACAAGAGGAGGAAACAACGGAATCAGAGGAGGACGAGATGTCAGAGGACTGATTGAATTGACATGGTTGCCAGTTACTACGTCATATTACTTCTTCATACATTGGAGATCTTTGGAGTATAAAACGAGCAAATTAGAGCTAAGCAGCTAATCCCCTAAGCCTGTATCTGAAGTCACTAGTCGAGTCGGTTGATATTTATCAATCTTCCAATATGGTTTCCTGTCGCAGAGACCTTTCCAAGCTGGTTCCAGGATGTCATTTGATATGGGTTTGTTATGTTGAACACTGCAGTTTTAGTGAGAACATGATGATCAACCACAAGATGTTTGGACATCCTCATCATTATCATGCCAGGATATGCTAGGTATTTGCTGATACATGCTGTGTCTTTCCAGCATCCGCTTGTGAACCTGTTGATTACAGGACGCTGCCCCAGAGCATGCTCCCGTCGAGGACATGGGTTGTATAGACTGCTATGGCGAAACATGGCTTTCCTATGGTTTTCTGATCTTTTCTGTGATGGGAGTGCAAATGTAACAATGTAATGACCCTGTTCCGGTTCAAGTAGATGCACGTGGTGCAGCAGTGTCAGCCCCGACTGGTTTGGCGTTTGCGGGTGTCCACCATAGCTTTTTTTCCGGATAGTTGCATTGGATGCAACTTGTTGAATGGATCCCGGATCTCGTGTTCTGCACAGGCTTTTCGAGACATGTTCTGTGAAGATCTGCGAGCCATTTAAGCTCCCGCAGACATGTATTTGAAAGTAGCAGGAGGACGAGAAGCACGAGGACGCAGAGAATGAGGAGGCAGAAGATGTGCCTGAGGAAAAGATGCAACAAGAGGAGGAAACAACGGAATCAGAGGAGGACGAGATGTCAGAGGACTGATTGAATTGACATGGTTGCCAGTTACTACGTCATATTACTTCTTCATACATTGGAGATCTTTGGAGTATAAAACGAGCAAATTAGAGCTAAGCAGCTAATCCCCTAAGCCTGTATCTGAAGTCACTAGTCGAGTCGGTTGATATTTATCAATCTTCCAATATGGTTTCCTGTCGCAGAGACCTTTCCAAGCTGGTTCCAGGATGTCATTCGATATGGGTTTGTTATGTTGAACACTGCAGTTTTAGTGAGAACATGATGATCAACCATAAGATTCTTGGATATCCTCATCATTATCATGCCAGGATATTTTATATATGTATTTGCTGATACATGGATTTCACAGCGAGGAGAAAAATGCAGCGGTTTGTGCCGTCGTCGCGTTAGCTGCCCCAAGGCAGGCATGTTTATCGTGAGCTGCCAGGTGGTCTGTCCATGAGATTTGCCTGCCTTGTTACGTTTTTTTTTGGCTCCGCCGCTTGGGCCGCGCGTCCTTCCCTCCCTGCGGTGGTGCCTTCTTCCAAAGAAGGTTCGGGTCGTTTCTTTTGGATAATTGTACAAGGCCGCAGCTGGCTAGCTAGCCAGCTTGTGTTTGTCTTTCTGGCCTCAAATCTTTCTTGCGCGCTGAGGTCCTGCCATTGCCCCAAGATGTCCTCGCCTGATTTTGTGTCCTGTGGTAGACGGAGTTTGCTGTGTCACATGCGTCTGAGCAGAGGACACAAACTGTGTACCCTTTCTTTCGGCGGGACGACGTGGCTAGGGCCGAAATCTTACACTCAATGATATTTTGTTGGCGAAGCCGCAGAGCTATTTCTTTCTTTATCTTGGAGTCACAGAAGGGTCATTTCTCGGTTGCAGTTCCCACCGGCACGACACAGGTCAACTAAAAGTGGACATGCGTTCGTTGTCCATTCAATCTTGCAAGAAGTGGTGAAGTGGTACGTATACTCGGATATGCCAACATTTTTTTAAGGTTTCAATATTGCAACATGTTCCATCATGAAGTCTAAAACAATTTGCATCAGACGACAGGAAGATCTTTCCAATTGGCATTGTATAAGTAAGAGTCAGAGGTAGACATAGAACGTTCCTCCGAGACTCGTTGCGTTTCGCAAATGGGTACCAGCGGACCCGCGAAATTGATCCTTTCTAGATGTATCAACCCATCAATTTCTCATTCGGTGGGTATTGGAAATTAGTGGGCTGGGACACCCATAAATCCAAAAAGCCTCCTATCTGGTCCGACGTCTAAGCTGCCGACCACATCGTCAGGCTCAAGGACTCCTTGGAGGGCCTGCGATTCGCCATGACGTCGGACCTGCGGAGAACTGGTGGATGACCCCCATTCCATGGCAATACATTTGGATTTGACGGTCCCTGGGAAAACCCTATATGCCTACTATATGCTTGTTTTGAGTGCTTCCATAAGCCGGCGGATTGTCTACAAGGAGCCCCCAGAAACATGTTGAGTACAGCCGCAAGAGGTTTAATTCCGCTTTTGAATTTGTGCCTGCGTTTTTGTTTCGACCTAATACCTATCCAGGTACATGCATGAGTATTGAGCACATTTATATGCACCCTTCAAGGCTCAAGAGGTATATAGAGTAACCCTGTGGACACCGCACGGACTGGCAATACGCCGAGAGTAAAAATGAGCTGTCTTGGGAAAACGCCTTAGCTGCTCTTGAATAGACGCTAGGGCCCCTCTTCACGCAGCCCCCCCAGAAGGGATTTTCAGCCTTAAGGTCCCAAGGTGACCTTCGGCTAGGGACCTTAAGCCTTAAGGTCCCAAGGTGACCTTCGGCGAGGGACCTTAAGCCTTAAGGTCCGCCCTGACCTTAAGGCTTCGACCTTCGAACCCCCCCCCCCCGGCGACCCGCCATGGTCACCCTTCGGTTGAACCTTAAGGGTACCTTCGCCGAAGGCTTAAGGTTCAGACCTTAAGGGTACCTTGGCCGAAGGCTTAAGGCTCAGACCTTAAGGGTACCTTGGACGAAGGTCTCCGACCCGTCCTCTCTTCCCTTACGCGCTCCCCCTTGCGTCGGCCGGGGTCGGCGGATATTATTATATACATAATGACACATTTGAACCTCTCAGCCAACCTTTCCTACACATTCTCCGGAGAATTTTCCCCTTCAGCCGCCCAGATCATGGGTTGGACGGAGTGGCCACTGGACTTTTCGGAATCCTCCGGCTGGCCCCTCGCCTTGGTCCTGTTACTTATCCAACCGTGTTGAAGATAGGACTACGTATATACACCTATAGGGCTCTGTGTTTTCCCAAAGAACCAGAAATAATTGCTGCTTTCCCCGAATTCCAAGCATTATTCCAAGTGTTGTAGGGATTCTTTTTGCCATGCGGGAAACAACCATGGCGATTTTTTGTTTGGGAGGCTCCAGGTAAATATGAAGTATCAGGTGCTGTACCCCGAAACCCACCGTTTTGCAAGAAAAAACACATAGTAGTTTCAAGTATTTCAGCCACTTTTTGCTGGGGAGATGCCATTCTATGAATAGTAAAAATGCAACAAAACAACACACACACACACATATATATGCACGCTGACACATATTCATGTTCTCTATATCATGCAATACAATATATATATATAAATTGAATAAACACAACAAAATTGAACAGCCAAACTAACACAAAAATTGCACACCCTAGAACTTCTCCGCTCCAGGGTTGCAGTGTCAGTTTTCGCCAATTATTAATTGAAAATTCACAGATATGTGATCCTCATGTCATGCAGGAGATGGATGGAAAAGGACGGCTGCCTCCTTGCGGCTATGAATATTGGGACTGATGCAGATAGTTCTTCACAGGAATCGGTAGGTGAAGATCCCCAAGTTTCGACCCTTCTGTTATCTTCTGTTCAAGTGTTAGAGAACTAATTTTAATGTCACCAACAACTTGCAGATGCAACCAAGGCCGGCATATTGGCGCATGGCACCTGTGCACATGGAAAAAATGTTCCAACGCATCTTGGTAAATTTGATGCAGTGACGCGGCCTTTTCCTGTCCCACTTACCAGCAGCAAACCCAGTTTGACGAGGGGTACCCTCCGGTAATCAACCATAGCTGGCTCCATTTTAGTTCGATGATTTTCCCAGCGAACGAACCCTCCATTCGCCATGTTTGATGAACTATGTATCACAACTACGTAAACAAATTCAAGATTTATGTTTTGATGGTTTCTTTTGAAACCACCTAGGGAGCGGCCCAAATAGAGATTTTATCAACAAGGACACGGTGTATCATTCTTGCCTGTGAAAGTCACTGTTTTTCTTGGATAGATATACTGTACTGTTTTTCCTGGTTAGGTCTCCATTTGTGTTGGTCAAATTACCTTTTTCTCAGGTGCAATGCTCATTTTTCCAGGTGAATCCCTTTCTTCTCTAGGTTTTTTCAGTGAAGTCACAGAATTCCCCAGCATTTTCCAGCTGAAATCCCCAGGTGAAACCCAGGTCCAAAGCCATCTTTTCACCATAGCGGTTTCCCAAGGTGGTGATCTGAGTTTCAGCCTCGAAGATCCCTGGGGTCGAGAGGAGCAACACTTGCCAACACCCAGCGTGGAGGAGGCTGAGGTGTGAAGGGAAGATCTCCAGGTTTTTGGTGGATTTGACCAAAACTGGGAGGAATTTCGAACTAAAGCCATCCCCAAGATGGTGAAAGTTGTGTGTTTCCAGGTTAGTTTGATGATATTTCATACATATAGTCACTCATTTCAAGTGATTTTTCACCTTTGGGCATCTTTTTTTTGGTTGCTATATGGTAATCATAAATCACTGGTGATCTAACGGTGAACCATGGAACAACATGAATCCCAGGAACTAGGAATCATCCGAGAAACAGCCCCCATTGGATGGAAATATGTATACTGTATACTTCGTTACTAAACCATGGATTTTTGGGTGCTGTTAAATATTGGGGGAAAAGGATTCTCTGATATATAAATAAATATATATATATATATATATATTGGGAACTACTTTGAGTGAATAGGAACGAGAAATTCAATTCCGATCGCTTTGGGGTTGAACATGGACCATCTGGACACTTAATGATGATTGAATGGTGATTCACCAACAAGACTGGGTCCAAGATTAGGGTTACCAAGGTTCAAGATGTTCTTTTTTCCCCGTGCTTCCCCGCAAGTTGCCAGAAGCCTCTTCACTTTGGGTGACTAGCAATCATCACAAATCCTTAGGTTGCAGTGAGAGAAATTATGGGCATTGAGATTCGAAATGAAAGGGAAAGAGTAAGAGGAGCAGGGTAGATAGACAAGAAAAAAGGGAAAGACAACCAAGAAGGAAGGGAAAGCGAAAGAAGAAACAAGAAGGAAGTATTGACCAAGTAAGAGAAAGACAATCAACAGAATAAAACACGTGAAACCTCCTACTTTACTACTGAACATGACCTAAATGTTTGGTTCCTTCCATATCCCATCTTGCTCCCTTCCATCCCCCAAATTCGATACTCAAATCCCCATGCAATTGCCATTTTTGGGTATCACCCATCTGAAAGATAAACCCATATCTATCCCGTATTGTTTACCGTATTGTTTACATCATTTGTATCTCATTATGTCCCATTGTATCCCTGGTACATCCATTAAATTCTTTCTCTTTTAGATACCCTCTGGTAAACTAACATAGCAATGGAAAATCACCACTTTTAATGGGAAAACTCACTATAAATGGCCATTTTCAATAGCAAACTGTTAGTTTACCATAGGGTATATAAAAAAAAACAGCCCCAGATAGACTCCAGTTCCCGCAGGCAGCGCTGATGCAGTGGATGGAAACTTCCAGGTCTCTCAGCCGACCTCAGCCCTTCTCAGCTCAGCAACTGGCGCACCACGTGTCTCAGAGACTACTGAGACTGCTGGTGGCAGGCGAGGTCCAGATCCAGTCCCTGGGTTGCCATGAAAAACCGAAGGTCCCTACCATTTTGTTAGCCAGTTATATCTGATGAATATCCGTGAATATCCCCGGTGACATATCTTTACTTTACTTGAGAACTGTTGAACTCCATCCCTTTTTTTGGGGGGCCAATGATTTTGAGACCCAACTGGGGCGATTTGAAACCTGTAGATTTCCGTCATGAGGCTGGCGACTGGGGCCGGAGTGGGAAAGCGCGGCATTGTTAGGTGTAAATGGAACTAAGATGAACTACGGTTTGGCATTTTGAAGAGAGTGATCAGAGTGATGCTGAAACTGTCGTTTTGAACGTCTTGTTCTTTGTTCTTCTCCTCTTTTCACATCTATTTGGAGGCAAATCATGAGCTGAAACACCAGTGGTAAACCATCAAGGTAGTGGGAGGCTCGGTAACTCCATCGCTGGTTCTAGTCCTGGCCATGATGTCTTCCGAAGATGTATGGTACTTGGGTGCGAACCATACAGGTAGTGAGAAACAAACAAAAATAGGGGGATCTTACAAAACACATCTCCATGGGATCAAAAAAATCTTAAGTCCATTTCTACACGCATCCCATGGATGACATTCCCAGCTCCATGGATCGACTCGTTGGCAGGTCATCATATGGGCTCCTCCATTGAACCCTACACCATGCTGAAGACCGTTCCTTGCCGCAGGGACCGCAGGGACCGCAGGGGGTTCTTCAGCCCTCCATAAACATCCGATCCGTCCAAGGCCTTGGAAAACGCGAACTTGGACTTAGAGGCGCGAAGTCCTGAAAGTTTCCGGCAATCGATAGAACCCAATTTTTTGGGTTTCCAGCTTGGTATGTCACCTCAATGTCTTCATGTATGATATATTATTATACTTGATCAGGAAAGGCAATTCCTGGGGGCTCTTACCTTTTACTTTACGGAGTGACTGGGGAACTCTTGGAACGCTGAGCCGTGAATTTCAACTACATCGCAGGGCTGACATCTTGATATCATCCAGTCATGGATCCACTACTTGGAAATGGATTCATAGGCATGCTTAGTTGGCCCATGTTCATCCTATACCTGGGGATATATATATATATATATCTATACATAGAATTATATAGATACACACATAATGTATGTGTGTGTATATATATATATATCTTTTGTATAGGCTATCCCCATAGACATCTTTTATTCTCCGGCGCTTTCTTCGATGGCAGATCCAGGTGCAGTTTCATGGACAGCGTCATCCAACGGTCACCATGGCCTGTACCGTGCTCCTTGGCGTGCCGGAGATGCGAATCATCCAGGGGGTCGGATGCCAAAACCGAAAAAGAGAAGTGATTGGGAAATTACCCTCCGGTAATTTAACATAACTATTGAAAATCACCATTTTTAATGGGTAAATCAACTATAAATGGGCCATTTTCAATAGCTATGTTAGTTTACCAGAGGGTAACTATGGTTTGTGGTAGATATACTGTAACTATAGTTGATGGTGGTTATTTCATGGTTTATAAACCAACTTATAAGTGATTGGGAAACAGCACATCTTACTGGTGGTGCTTGTTTTCCCAGGTTGCCAGGGTGAAACCTGCGTTTCGATGCGAGTTCCGAGGTTTGGGTTTTGTCACGAGAACAAGGAGCTCTCGGATTGGATGCGGAAATGGGAATGGAAGCATTCCTGGGTCGGGGTTCTCAGGATGATCCTTCCCTGGGTCGAAATTCTCACTCTTCATGGTTTAATGCAACATATATACAAGCCACAACAAACTTGGTGGGTCCATTGGTACTTCCATGACTTGGAATTCTTCAGACCTGGCTTTGCACATTTTTTGGGGCCCCCGAGTATAGAGAAACTCCCAGATGGTTGGTTTTCATCATATTCTCCGATTTTGTGTGGCTCAAAACTGCATGTCTGTGTGTGTTGACTCCACATTTCGTTGGTTCACTGCCCATTTTTTGTTGGTTCCATTCCGATATCGCATATTCTGTGGGGTTGAATCCTCAAATTTCTTCCGGAACCCCCCAACATTTCTTTGTTATAAACAGCCAAATGGTGGTTTCCTAAAATAGGGTTACCCCCAAAGCACCCCTATTTTAGATGGGGATTTTCCATGAAATAAACCATCCAATGCTCGCTTGGGGTACCCCTATGACTATGGAAACCTCCAATCTATGTAACCCCAGCTATAGTTTGTTTATAAATCATAGTAACATATAGTAACTAGTTCGATATATCTACCATTTTCAAAGAAAGTGCCAAGTCTTCCCAATTTATCTCGGTTACTGAGGAAGACGACTATGAATGGCCAGATGCTGAGTGCAGGGAAGTGGGGATGCATGGAATCCACGACCTGGGAACAGCGTGAAGGAAACACACGGATTTTAAAGGACACACACACACATCTATATACTGTATATATATATATATACACACATATGTACGTATGTATATGTATATATATATACATGCATGCATGCATGCATGCATACATCCATACATCCATACATCCATACATCCATACATCCATACATCCATGCATCCATGCATCCATGCATCCATGCATCCATGCATCCATGCATCCATGCATGCATGCATACATGCATCCATGCATCCATGCATGCATGCATACATGCATACATGCATACATGCATCCATGCATCCATGCATCCATGCATCCATGCATGCATGCATACATGCATACATGCATACATGCATACATGCATATACACATTAGTGATGGAAATATAGTCAAGATATTAGAAAGCAACAATATCACATGATGGGATATCCAGGAATCCAAAGTGGGTCATCATATTTTCGTTTTTGGTATGAACCACGTATATCTGGTGGATATCCAAAAATTTTTCTGTACATTGGTTAGAGATAATTAAACTCACATATCCGTTTGTCTCAAAAACTATCACGGACATAATCAAACAAACCTAGAATATATCCATTTGTATATACTATCATGAACACTCACATATCCGTTTGTATAATAACACCTTATCAGAATTGTCTGAGTTCGGAAAGTCGATCTCGGAAAGACAAAACCTAGAGGAAGCCCGAAGAAAAAATTGGGGCTGAGTTCACCAGTTTTCCTGCAGATTTGTCAGCCAATCCACACAACCTGGGGGACATCTTAGAACCCCCTTGAAATATGAAGTAAATTCATCAAGATGATTGTACTGTAAACCCCATGAATATGACATATTCTAATCCCGATTAATGAAGAATTCTCAAGTATACTATGAAATCAAGATATTATCAACCATTATTAACCATGATTTACCATTGTTAACCATTAATCACCATTAAGACCCCCCATTGTGGTGAAATTTCTCCAACCAGGATGCGAGACCAGTGGCCAGAGGCTTTGGAAGGTGCCTCGGATCACAAGTCCTCCGTGAAATTCACTGGATTTCCCAAGAGTACAACGTGATACCCCCCAAGTTTTGTTGGTTTGTTTTTTTTGAAGCCCGTTAACTATAGATATATCATGATATATCATAAACAAGAGTTGACCTACGTAGTTATCCCAATCGGAAAAAGACGTTTATTTTTTTTGTTTACCATATCATACCATATCATATAGTTCTTGAATTGTGTTTGGTTTTTTCCATGTGCATCATAGTTGTTTCTCTCTGTAAGCCGAAGTGGCGCATAATCTGCCGAGCAAGGTGCAGTGGAAGCACTTACAAACTGTGATAGAGGGAAAACAACATGGTAACTATTCAAGAGGAATGGCACCCCTACTGTGGATGGTTGCGAAATCCTGCACCAGTTGATAGATGGTAAACATATGTAAACATCCCATGACTTATAGGGTTTCAACCACCCAAATTGGTGGTTTCTCGGATTTCGCTGGCCCATCCACAGTGATGGTGAACCACTGGCAACCTCCCATTTCGCGTGCCCGGATCCGAGGGCTGGCTGCGGTTCTGAAGTCCGACAGCTTCTTCTCTCGGGTGCAGTTGGTGGTCTGTGGTGGTCCCGCATGGTTTCTTGGCCGGTGGGACCATGCGTTGTGACTGGGACTGGGTTGTTTTGGTGCATTTTTGAATAGCTTGGAACTGGCTGATTTGCTTTCCAATGGTATACTTTTTTGGGTTGCAGGTCCACTACAGGCACATGCTTTCTCGGGTTACAACTAGTCTTTCGGATTAGAGGCCCTATGATATTTGGTCGCTGGCAATCCATTTGGTAGATAGCAGATGATAGCAGTGATACCACAGCTTGATTGTGCAAGCGGGATATCTAGTTATCCAGTAGACTGGCAGCAGAAAATCTCGGAGAAAATCCTGGACAGATCATAACAGATCTTAACAGCAAGCTGTATGGGGTCAAGACGCTCGTTTGATAGTCCAAAATTGGGAGACAGAAAATCCCAGCCCGCCCACCCGGTTTGATCCACATCAGAAAATCTCTGGAGGTTTTGCACCATGCTTCGAGCTGTCAAGGTTCGGGATTGGTGGTTGGATATGTTGTGTGTTGGGTGTTGGGTGTCGAAAGTTGGAATTTTGTAGAGTCCACTTACTGAACGTGAGAAGGGCCCTCAATAGTTGTGTCTCTACAATTGTAAGTGACCTATGTGGTGAATTGACGTTGGCTTTTGGAGGTACCTGAGTCGGCATGAGAATGTCCTAGGGGATACTATCTGAGGGTTTCAACCTGCTTCACATCCATATACCGGAAATCAACGCTACATATTTGGTCCCTTCAACTACCATTTTGGGTGACTTTGTGGCTTTAATTGGGGGCCCATCTGAAAACATCTATCTGAAGTTTGCTCGTGGACGCAGGTGACGTTCACATGGTCCATGTGGGTTTGTGAGCAAGTTGGAGTGTCCGTAGAATCCATTGGTTTTTATCATCACTTCCCTATATACCCTCTGGTAAACTAACATAGCTATGGAACATCACCATTTTTAATGGGAAAGTCCACTATAAATGGCAATTTTCAATAGCTATGTTAAATTACCAGAGGGTATCCTATATTTTCCCAACTCAAAATTGCTATTTGGAGCAGACCTAACTTCCTTCTTCAATTCCATCTTAAAGCATCACTGGTTGGTGGTTTGGAACATGGCTTTTATGACTTTCCCATCATATTGGGAATTTCATCATCCCAACTGACGAAGTCCATCATTTTTCAGAGGGGTAGGCTCAACCACCAACCAGTATATATATATCCCATGTATATCCCAAGCAGTTTAACAATATCATATATATATATATGATATGTTGCCGTGTCTGAAAATGGGGATACCCATAAAATATGGCAGTGAACTAACTAACTAACTAACTAACTAGCTAGCTAGCTAGCTAGCTAACTAACTAACTAACTAACTAACCATATAATAACCATATATTAACCATATATTAACAGTATATTAACCATCATTACCACATTTTTCCACATCTGACATGTGCCATGGGACGACAGAGGCCGTTCCCATGTTGCTCTACTTTGCCTGGCCCATGGTGCCACATATTCCGCCCAGCTTGAGGCTCGCGGCGAGGAAGTGACTGGGCAACAGGATCTAGAGATCCGACTGGGAAGGGTAACCATAGCACCTATAAAAATGGTGGGGGATGGTAAACATGACATGGTTGTAACCACATTAAGTAGAAACATAAGATATATGTAGTAGAAACCGAAAGATACCTACTTGGAAGACACGAAATAGATTTAGATCCCATCTTTGGGTCATGCTGAACATGGACCCAGCAAATATAGGGTGGTCCCCCCGGCCCAAAAAAGGACTTGATGAACGCGCTATTTTGATGGGAACATCGGAGTGACTAGGCTTGGGCCCTTCATCCATAGCCAATGAGCCACTCTAAAAGGTGGAATTAGACTTAAAGACATGGAGGTTCTCCCAAATTTCTTCCGATTTTACTGGAGAATGACCCGGATTCATTGGCGATGTATTCGAAAAAGGTCCAGTATGTAATGGATGACTGCAAAATCCCACAGAAACATATTGATCACCAATTTTGAAGGGCTATCTCATTGGTCAGGTGCGGTCAAAATGGAACAGAATCCCATCACAATCGGTTTGGTGAGATGGTCTGTCTTGTGTGCTGATTGGTTTAGTTCTTGGGGCTGGTACACTTTCATATTCCATTTCTGGGATCATTTTTGAGTTCCCAAAATGACAGGAGGTCGAGGTATTGAAGAATGATAGCCACTTTTGGGGGAAAGAATGTAACTCTACTTCTTTCTCTACCAATGTGTCCAAACATATCTGGGGTAGTTGGGATCTCATCCTGACCAGGCCGCAGTTCCTGCTACAGATTCAGACCTTGGCACAGGCAACTTCTCCACCAGCAGTCATGGTGCGGTGGCCAAGGGATGGATTTCTTTGGGTTCAATCCCAGATGTACCCTCTGGTAAAGTAACAGTTTGCGAACTGGAAAATCACCATCTTTAATGGGTAATTCAACTACGTTCATGTGCCATTTTCAATAGCTATGTTAAGTTACCAGAGGGTATGTAACTTGAAATCCATGTTATGCAGAACGCTGATATGAACTACCCTTGTAGAAACCATGGTTTATTAATTAAGGAATCTGTTCATTTTGAGGTCCGTTGTTGGGAGTACGTTGTTCATTGAGGACTACATACATTTATCTAGAGGGGTTTCTTATAAATTGACGCCCCCCAAGTTCAGCTATTAATCTAGAGGGGGATTATTTAACATAAACATCATGGAACCTGTGACCCCAAATGGTACGTAAAATTATCACCGTATTACGAAATCACCGTAAAAAGTGTTCATATCGTCCACGTGGAACGGAACGAAGCCGGGTTTCGGGCGAGTGTCAGAGTTTGGGTTGACAGTAGCAATGCCATCCCATCTCCATTGGTTGGGACAGCTGACTCCCATTTTTTTTCACCTGATTTTGAGGTAGTTTATAACATTTTATAACCTACTGACCTCACTGATTATTAATTATGTTCCATATATTGCCGCATTATGATATGGTTCAAAAACCGACCTATGCTTCCTGCAGTGCACATCCAGTACCAAACAAACAAATTCACATAGATATGGAACATCCATGAAAATCCATTAGTTATGGATCATTTCATAGTGGTTTCACCATAGGTCTTCCATATCAATGTTGATGAATTTACTGGAGTCTACCCAACAAAGAAATCCATAGTTGGATGATGGGAGAAGTGAAACATGAACCCCCCAATGAAAGACATCTATGGAAGCCATGGCCCATTGATACGCCCTTTTTTCAGATGGCGATGTTCCGCAAAGCGTGGAAACTTACCCAGAGCTTCAATGTTGTAGATCAACGATTTGTTCATCCCCGTGAAGTTTCATGAAAAACCATCGAAAAATAGGCAAATTACCGTTGTTTATCCCTGTTCAATTACCAGATTCTATACCTGGTCTTCCCACGTTGTGCCTAGGTTGTGGCCAACTGGATCCTGGCAGCACAGTTCGCGTTGCAGGTGCCAACTTGATGCGGGACACGATACATTGATCTGACGATATGATGATATGATAGTATTTATGACATGCATGAAAACGAATGTACAATAGTTGCAAGATAGAGATCTAGAATTCTAGAATCGTCATAAAGATGGGACATGTAGAAAAACGTACTTTACGAGACACCACAAACATGTGTAGATACTTGGGGATGGGTCAAAACCTATGATTCAGATGACTGGGGGAATAAGCATCCATAAAGCAGCTATGACTTCGGGTACCATCAGGGAAAATGGGATTTACAGTAACCATTATAAATGGTGATTTAATGGTGATTTTTAATGGTTGAGGTTACCAGGGTTTTGACCCATCACTTGACCGAGCCAGTCCACTTGGAGGTGAGATTGCCAACACCCGTGCAGCGCGTGCACGGGCTCTACACGCAGCAGCAGCACTCACCGGTCCCCCGGGTCGTTTTTTGGGTCGCGCGTGGGTGGAATGATCCACTGGAAAACTGGCCAGATCCGAAAATCTGTCAACGCCAGATAAATCAAAGACTAAAGCCTGGTTGATGAAATAAACAAATTGGGAGGGACTCCTTCGAAAAAGATCCAAAAAGCAAGTTCAATGATCAACCCACCAGGGCGGCCCCAGGGGCACCTGCAGGGGCTTTTTTGTTGCGATGCCAGGTGCCTGCGCCCAATGGCAACCATCGGATCATGTTCAGTCGCCTGGGCGTTTGGACAGGTCGCTCGACTGCCATTTTGTCATCGTTCTTGGTCAGTTTTTCAAAGGGAAACCCATCAGCATACGGAAAAAAGGCTAATTTTCTGATACAGAAAGAAAGGTTTTAAGATGCATTACCACTATCTACCACTATCTACCACTTGATACAGAAAAATGATGAAAAACAGGTTTCAAAATGAATTACCACCATCCAGTGTCAAAGGCCGTTTTTTGCTGGTGGTGTTTACCACTATTGGATGTGGCCAGGCGGCTCTGGGCCGGCTTTGCTGGAACTGCTCTGGTCATTCTTCTACGAGGTCGCTGGGTCTGGGCTGCCGGGAACATCCGGTAGAATGAGGAGAAACTTATTATGGATATGCTGAAGATTATATTTTGCAATGTTCCCATTGGAAAACCAAGCATTTGGGAATTTCTATGAAGGAGATTCTTCATTTCTTAGAGCAATCTTACGCAAATCTAAGTTAGCGATTCTGTACTTCAACATCCTCAAGAATTGAAGAGGAATCGTCTGACAATTTGAGTATTGGGTTGTGGCCACCGGCCAGTTTCTTGAGGGAATACTTGGTCGACATACCCTCTTGCGTGAGAAGACACTCTGGAATTCCCAGCTACGCTGTGGTAATTTCTCAGCTGACAAAGAGAAATCCCCACTTTGAGTAAGGACATTATCTATAAGTCTACAAGTGGACAAAAATGGGAAGCACTCCATTGCCAGATAAGATTACCGGGTTTTTCTTGCTGTTCTATCGCAATCTCACAGCGGCAGGAGAACGAGAAGCGGCACTTCCCTTACGAGCCCGTTTTCCTCAGCGTCCGGGTGAGGTGGGTCAATGGCAAAAAAGTACAGAAACATGACATGAAACACGTGTGGCCACTACAAGAGACACATCCCATATAATCTCATTATATGGACATATATGGACTAGACCGTCCTATTTTGGATCCCCAAATTAATGTTTGTAGATTGTACCATGAAACCAGGGCGTGCTGATTCGTAGGGGGAAGGGATATATTGTTGGTCTTTGCTGGTGATTTTAGCAACATTGAATTGATCGGCAACAATTTCATCAGGATAATATGGTTATGTCAAGTTATGTCATTATGTCTGAGAGTTGGGTATACCGTAGTATACCTCAAAACTGGCACTTTTATAATGGAGAAGTGATGATAATTGACGATAAGCCTGATAAGGCATCAAATTTGGTACTCTGTTTTCAGACAAACCCATCTCATCGCAACAGACTTGTTTGTATCCGGGAGGTGGGGCTGACCCCAAGTCACCAAACTCATTACATAGGCTTGGACCTCCATTTTCAGGATCAACGGACAGCTTTTGTTTCGGGTGCTTTGGGATTCTAGCTGAGTAGATCTCAAAGAAAGATCTCTGGCATTTTTGAGCCATATGCTGCTGCATATGCTGCTGCTTGGTTTTATAAATCGTTTAGAAAGCGCAACATTTCCCAGACACCCCAAGATTTGATTGGGAACCCCATGGTTTCCAGTGGCTTTCCCCTTCCATGAAGCCAATGGGACCGCATTCAGGGCGGTCGCCACAATCTTCGACGTCACCTATGAGGCCTGGAGCCATTCGTGTTATAGTCAAGTTATGTTAAGTTACAGGGGTTGTTTTATCATAGGGGGGATGGCCATCACTCCATTTTCGTAGGAGTTAAAACGAGGCCAGTATAAGGAATCCTAGTCATAATAGTGGGATGACCAGGGCCCCATTAACATAACTTGATCATGGCACATTTGGAGCACCACTTCACTTATGTAAGCAGGGGTTGGTCGGGCTACAATCCAGCCCTTTTCCCCGACTTGGTCAGTTGGGTGAACCGCCAGGTACATACAATGTGAGGCCCCCAAGATAGCTAAGTTGGTGCAAATAACTCCAATTTCACTATGGTTTATGGTACGCAAATAACTATAGTTACTGGGGTTTTTGTTAACCATCTAACATCACTGGGGGGCCCCACCTTGTATGTTTAGCCTTGTTGTGTTTTTCCATCCCCAGGCTCCAGAAGAAATCATCCAGCAGGGTCCAAAAACAGCAGGAGATGTCGCAGTTCTACGCTTGCGTCTATTGGTCCGGGGGCCCAAAAGATGGTTCTCAGGAGGTAGAGCAGGGGCTCAAGAAAATGCTGATGGATCACTTTTTTGGGAGCCATCAGCAAAATTATCATAATCTCATGATCTCATGATGGTCATGATGGTCATGATGGTCATGATGGTCATGATGGTGAGGATGAGGATGAGGATGAGGATGAGGATGAGGATGAGGATGAGGATGAGGATGAGGATGAGGACGATGGTCATCACGATGATGATGATGATGATGATGATGACGATGATGGTGGTGGTGGTGGTGATGATGATGATGGTCATGATGGTCATGATGGTGAGGATGATGATGATGATGATGATCATCACCACCACCATCATCATGATAGTGATCAAAATGATTAAGCAGCACCAACAATATCTTCAGTCATCGAGTCATGATCGCTGGCTAACGTCTCACCAACAGTGGCAGCAACATCAGCACCATCACCAGGTTCATCAGTGCGATATTCGCGATCTCATTGTCACATTGTTGAACATCACTTTGTTGTCATTAAAAAAAAAATGTCATGGTCTTTAGATGATTTTAGTTACAGTAGATGTGTATGGATTTTAGATGATTTTATGTTTTTAGTAGTTTCACTATTTTTCACTACCTTCCAATGGTAGTTGTAGATGATCCAGCAACCCCAGTCACCTCCCGAAAAGCCTAGGCCCTGGGATGTGATGATGATGCTCTTTAACGAGCTTTACACCATGCAACTGGGATCCACGCGAGGCCAAAAAAACCATTCCGAACGCTGAAAATGATTAGTTCGGGGACAATCCACGACCAATTGTTGTTGGGGCAAATCAGATTATCCCATTTTTAGGGGAATCCCATTCTCCAACCAGTTTTTGAAGGACAGAATTGGAAGGGTTTTCTTCGGTTTTTAGTTGTTCCTTTATAGACTTAGACATGTTTTTTGTTCGAAAAGGGATTTCAAGCATAGGATACCGCATCCTCTTGAAACAGGGGCACCTCTTTGTGTTCTCAACCCGGGTTTTTCGAACATGATTTCCGACCAGATTTTGGGCAGATTTTGGGCAGGGGTGAAATCTGAGGAACGTTCCAAAATGGGGTGATCCAAGCACCAAAATCCGGTGGGTGAGTTCCATATCAGCTACCCTCTGGTAAACTAACAGTTTGCTATTGAAAATGGCCATTGAAATAGTGGATTTTCCCATTAAAAATGGTGGATCTTTCCAGTTCGCTATGTTAGTCATAACCAGAGGGTAAAACCATCGGCAAAAAATAGCAGGCTACACTCCCTTTTCTCCACCAACAGCCGTTTGCACGTTGAATTTTTGAGTACTGCAGCCACTACCTGTACCTACCTGTGCCTCAATGACTGTTTCAGTATGTCTCATGATCATATTCCTTCAATGCTGATTAGATCAGATCTTAGATTTTCGAAAACTTATATCTGAGACATATTTTCTCTAATTCCCTTATATCATATATCTAAGATTGTGTCTGCTTCTGCATAAAAACTGGGCTGTTCCCTTGCGAAGCATAGGTTGGTTCCCTTGTTCGTGCCGGACAAGCAGTGGGTTGCCTCTTGGCGCGATTCGTCACATTGAAAGCTGCAAGTTTGCTGCTTTCAATCCATGTTTCGCTTGATGAAATAGCCATTAAGGGAATGGTTCAAAATCACATGTCATTCTATACCACATTGAAGTAAAAAAGACACATAAAATCACAAACGAAATAATCACCATAAAATACCATGTAAACACACGGCTGTTTCGATCCTTCAAAAATGGGACCCAGTTGGGGCCACTCCAACTGGGCAGGGAGCCGAGGTGACTTCCATGCTTTGGGCTCTAAAGCACAGCACACAGAACTGGTGGCACATCCGAGCCAAGAACGTGAGGCACAGGGGAAAACATGGATTTAAGAATGGTTGAGTTGGATATGGGTGAACAACCCCCTGTATCCCATGAAATTTTGCCTACAATCCCCATTTTTCCATGGTTAAATCTTAATTGTGTGGTCAAATCCCCTCTATTAAATATCTTCCAATCGTATCAAAAACCATATTGAAATCGTAAAAAAACATATTTCCTGAATTTGGCATCCTAGAAGAAGATCTGTGGTTATAACATGTTATACCCTCTGGTGAACTAACATAACTATGGAACTCATCATTTTTAATAGTTCCCGAGAGCGTCTGAGCGCAGGGTTCTTCCAATAGTGGGGGTCTGTAAAACATCTTCTCATCTTCACATCTTCTCTCACATCTGCTCATCTTCACATCTTCTCTCACATCTTCTCTCACATCTGCTCATCTTCGCACATCTTCTCTCACATCTGCTCATCTTCACATCTGCTCATCTTCACATCTTCTCTCACATCTGCTCATCTTCACATCTGCTCATCTTCATATCTTCTCTCACATCTTCTCTCACATCTTCTCTCATCTGCTCATCCTTCTTCATATCTTCTCTCACATCTTGTCTCACATCTGCTCATCTTCACATCTGCTCATCTTCACATTTGCTCATCTTCACATCTTCTCTAACATCTTCTCTCACATCTGCTCATCTTCACATCTTCTCTCACATCTGCTCATCTTCACATCTTCTCTCACATCTGCTCTCACATCTGCTCATCTTCACACCTTCTCTCACATCTAACATCTTCTCTCACATCTGCTCATCTTCACACCGTCTCTCACATCTAACATCTTCTCTCACATCTGCTCATCTTCACATCTTCTCTCACATATTCCCTCACATCTTCTCTCACATCTTCTCTCACATCTGCTCATTTTCACATCTTCTCTCACATCTGCTCATCTTCACGTCTGCTCATCTTCACACCTTCTCTCACATCTTCTCACCTTCACATCTTCTCTCCTTTCTCTTCCCTTTTTCTCTCTCTCGCCTTCTTTATCTTTCTCTCTTAAGGCCGAGGGTGGTGCCGGCGGCGAGTCACGAAACGTCAACCCTTTCGCACGAAATGAGGGTCGATCGTCAAAAACTGAGGAAAAAATGCGATTTTACTTGTCCCGGAGCAACCTTTCGCACGAAATGAGGGTCGATCGTCAAAAACTGAGGAAAAATTGCGATTTTACTTGTCCTGGAGCAACCCTTTCGCACGAAATGAGGGTCGATCGTCAAAAACTGAGGAAAAATTGCGATTTTACTTGTCCTGGAGCAACCCTTACGCACGAAATGAGGGTCAATCGTCAAAAACTGAGGAAAAATTGCGATTTTACTTGCCCCGGAGCAACCCTTTCGCACGAAATGAGGGTCGATCGTCAAAAACTGAGGAAAAATTGCGATTTTACTTGCCCCGGAGCAACCCTTTCGCACGAAATGAAGGTCGATCGTCAAAAACTGAGGTAAAATTGCGATTTTTCCTGTGCCGGACTTGTCTGTGTGTAAAAGCGTCTGTGTGTAAAAGCGTCTGTGTGTAAAAGACTCTGTGTGCAAAAGCGTTTGTGTGCAAAAGCGTGTGTGTGTAAAAGCGTCTGTGTGTAAAAGCTTCTGTGTGTAAAAGCCTCTGTGTGTAAAAGCGTCTGTGTGTGTCTGTGTGTAAAAGCAACTGTGTGTAAAAGTCTCTGTGTGTAAAAGCGTCTGTGTGTAAAAGCGTCTGTGTGTAAAAGCGTCTGTGTGTAAAAGCGTCTGTGTGTAAAAGCGTCTGTGTGTAAAAGCTTCTGTGTGTAAAAGCGTCTGTGTGTAAAAGCGTCTGTGTGTAAAAGCGTCTGTGTGTAAAAACATCTGTGTGTAAAAGCGTCTGTGTGTAAAAGCGTCTGTGTGTAAAAGCAACTGTGTGTAAAAGTCTCTGTGTGTAAAAGCGTCTGTGTGTAAAAGCGTCTGTGTGTAAAAGCATCTGTCTGTAAAAGCGTTTGTGTGTAAAAGCGTCTGTGTGTAAAAGCGTCTGTGTCTAAAAACATCTGTGTGTAAAAGCGTCTGTGTGTAAAAGCGTGTGTGTGTAAAAGCGTCTGTGTGTAAAAGCGCCTGTGTGCAAAAGCGTCTGTGTGCAAAAGCGTCTGTGTGCAACAGCGTGTGTGTGTAAAAGCCTCTGTGTGTAAAAGCGTCTGTGTGTAAAAGCGTCTGTGTGTAAAAGCGTCTGTGTGTAAAAGCGTCTGTGTGTAAAAGCTTCTGTGTGTAAAAGCCTCTGTGTGTAAACGGGTCTGTGTGTCAAAGCGTTTGTGTGTAAAAGCGTCTGTGTGTAAAGGCGTCTGTGTGTAAAAGCGCTTGTGTGTAAAAGCGTCTGTGTGTAAAAGTCTCTGTGTGTAAAAGCGTCTGTGTGTAAAAGTGCCTGTGTGTAAAAAGCGTCTGTGTGTAAAAGCGTCTGTGTGTAAAAGTGTCTGTGTGTAAAAGCGTCTGTGTGTAAAAGCGTCTGTGTGTAAAAGCTTCTGTGTGTAAAAGCGTCTGTGTATGTAAAAGTCTCTGTGTGTAAAAGTGTTTGGGTGTAAAAGTCTCTGTATGCAAAATCGTCTGTGTGTAAAAGCGTCTGTGTGTAAAAGTCTCTGTGTGCAAAAGCGTCTGTCTGTAAAAAGTTCTGTGTATGAAAAACTTACAAAAATACGATGCAAACTATTGTCTTGTACTAGTCATATATTGTCTTGATACTACTCTTCTCGTCTGCCTATAATACATCTTTATCATATTATCTTGTAATATAGTGTCTCCATACTAACAACAGAAGACTCTGCTCCTCTACGCTCTCGGGCCACCCGTCGTCTAGTCATTTTTAATAGGAAAATCCACTATTTCAATGGCCATTTTCAATAGCTATGTCAGTTTACCAGAGGGTAACTCTATTTGAAGCTCTGCTGCAGGTCCACCCTGCCCTCCGCCGATGGCCCGGACGCGGACTTCCCGGTGCCGGAGCCGTGGATCGACGACGCAGAGCACCGGGGAATGGAGCAGGCCCAGCGGTTTTTGGCTGGGGAAACCATGGGAAAATGGGGAAACCATGGGAAAATGATGGAAAATGTGCACTTCAACTACTTCAACCGTTTGTGGATGTAGGCACTTTCAACAAACAAAAAATGTCCTAAAGCAATGACTACCTCATTGGACAGGCTGAACGGTATGAAAATTGACCCACAGAGCAGGTGCTAATCGATTTTGAACCATACAACCTGGTGCCCATTCAAGCGGCTCAAGTGGTGGACTTTGGCTCCAGATTCTTTTCTCGAGCCTTGTTGTGTTGAACCGCGTGAGACCGTGCTTTCCAGCGATGTTTCAAGTGACTGTAGCTTCGGCAAGCGGTCGCAGTGAGAGCATTGCACTTCCCCAGTCCTCCAAAGTTGGGGACTTGAAGATTTTGGCCCAGAAGTCATTTCAACAGGGATTCCTGAGGCTTGTCACTGCCGATGGGCGCATTTTAGGCGATCCGACGCAGCCACTGTTGAGTGAAGGGCTCAAAGAGGAAGAGTGCCTCACTGCTGTGGCACTACAAGCAAAGGTGGCAGCAACACCAAAGCTGGATCGCCTTGGTGGTGCCTTTGCACTATGGTGCTGTGGTGGCAGCAAGATAGTCGTATGGGGCCATCCAGATCGTGGTGGTGACAGCTCTGCAGTGCAAGACCAGCTGAGGAATGTGCAACAGGTCCAGGGCGCATATGGAGCATTTGCTGCGATTTTGGCAGATGGATCTGTGGTTACATGGGGCAGTCCAGAGTATGGTGGTGACAGCTCTGCAGTGCAAGACCAGCTGAGGAATGTGCAGCAGGTCCAGGGCACAGCCGGAGCATTTGCTGCGATTTTGGCAGATGGATCTGTGGTTACATGGGGCAGTCCAGAGTATGGTGGTGACAGCTCTGCAGTGCAAGACCAGCTGAGGAATGTGCAGCAGGTCCAGGGCACAGCCGGAGCATTTGCTGCGATTTTGGCAGATGGATCTGTGGTTACATGGGGCAGTCCAGAGTATGGTGGTGACAGCTCTGCAGTGCAAGACCAGCTGAGGAATGTGCAGCAGGTCCAGGGCACAGCCGGAGCATTTGCTGCGATTTTGGCAGATGGATCTGTGGTTACATGGGGCTGTCCAGATTGTGGTGGTGACAGCTCTGCAGTGCAAGACCAGCTGAGGAATGTGCAGCAGGTCCAGGGCACAGCCAGAGCATTTGCTGCGATTTTGGCAAATGCATCTGTGGTTACATGGGGCTGTCCAGAGTTTGGTGGTGACAGCTCTGCAGTGCTTCCACGCTAAAAATGGAAGTTGCCTCTGTCAGTCACTGCTCAGAAGGAAAACAAGGGCCGCTGACCCAGCTGGCATGCCACCAAAAAAAGTGCAAGACCAGCTGAGGAATGTGCAGCAGGTCCAGGGCACATCCGGAGCATTTGCTGCGATTTTGGCAGATGGATCTGTGGTTACATGGGGCTGTCCAGAGCCTGGTGGTGACAGCTCTGCAGTGCAAGACCAGCTGAGGAATGTGCAGCAGGTCCAGGGCACAGCCGGAGCATTTGCTGCGATTTTGGCAGATGGATCTGTGGTTACATGGGGCCGTCCAGAGTTTGGTGGTGACAGCTCTGCAGTGCAAGACCAGCTGAGGAATGTGCAGCAGGTCCAGGGCACAGCCGGAGCATTTGCTGCGATTTTGGCAGATGGATCTGTGGTTACATGGGGCTGTCCAGAGTATGGTGGTGACAGCTCTGCAGTGCAAGACCAGCTGAGGAATGTGCAACAGGTCCAGGGCACAGCCGGAGCATTTGCTGCGATTTTGGCAGATGGATTTGTGGTTACATGGGGCCGTCCAGAGTTTGGTGGTGACAGTTCTGCAGTGCAAGATCAGCTTGCAGAACTCTAGGAGAAGATGTATGCCCAGAAGTTTCTGCATAGGTTCGGCATTGGCAAGGTGGCTTTCTATGTGCACAAATAGCAGCGGGTCTTGCAAGCCCGTGATTCCAGTAGAGGAAAATGCTTGTGGGTCCAAAAACAAAGGGGCTGCATTTTTTTTCCCATTACAGTAGTTGACAATGCAATAGTTGTTCTTCAGTGTGTAGAGATCTAGCTTCCTTTATTTGGCTTTTCTCAGTCTATTCCCTCTCGCCTTCCGTCGCTTTCTCAAAACCCATCATTGTGTTGTTTGATGTGGGAGAGCGCGCAAGATCGGGACCTACCGGAATGTGGGTTTCCTCATTTTGGGACCCCAAAACCGTCCAACCTTGGTCATTTTGAAGAGGAAAAGCAATGGTTTTGGGGTCCGCATCTTGACTTGTTACTTCCAGCCCTCCAGCACTGAATCTTACTGGTACTGAGAGTTTGGCCAAACGCGCTTTCGTTCGGACTTTCTGAACGGACATGCACCCATGAGGAAGACAATCAACCGTGTGGATGCTTTTTGATGAAGTATGTTGCTGCCAAAAAAAACATGTTCAGTATGCCTCAAAATATCTTGCCCCAAGCTTGGATGGTTGAACAAATCCACTCGAAATGGTCAACACAAAAAGGGTTCACTGGTACTGATACCCAGACTCCGCAGATGCCTCTGTGCTGGTCGAGGCAGCCTATTGGTACTCCCTCACAGACTTTGAACAGTCGCTCAGCACCTTTCAGGGAGACATCTCGGTCGGTAGCTTTCCTTGGGAGCGACTAGTGACTAGTGTTTTTCCCTGAAAGCGAACATGGAACCAACATGAACCAACAAACTGACTTCGGAAGACAATTCCTGCTAAACATGGCCATTCTATGCCATTCTTGGGATTTCCAGGGGTGTAGCTGTTTGACCTACAACAAAAAAAGGATGCAACGTGCCCTAAAAACTGTGACAGCCACGGTTCCGGAATCTGACTTGGCCATGGAAAATCCGCCAGTTGTATCCAGTTATAGTCGTTTTTCCCTTTCCAAAGGGGAACTTCTCATTCTGGTTGGTGGTTTGGAACATTTTTTATTTTTCCATATATTGGGAATAATAATCCCAACTGACTAATATTTTTCAGAGGGGTTGAAACTGCGAATTGCATATTCCCTATTTAGCATTCATGTCATGACTTTGCAATTGTCATTTCAATCAATGGGCATTTCACCATAGCCCTTTTTCCAAGCTCAAAGATCGGTCGGAAGACCGGTGAGTCCAACGTGAAGGACTTTGGAAAGAGAGTTAAAAGCGCAGGACCACTTGTCTGACCGTGGAGGACTTTGTGTGTCTAACGCAAGGAGTTTGAGGTGTGGACTAGTACCTGGCTTTTCTGGCCGCAGACGTGTCAGGACTGTCAGTGCTAGTACCCCCGATAATATTACCCGGGTGAACCTGTCGCGAACAGGTTATGAGCCCAACGCATGGGGACTCTGCTGAAATGATGCTCAGAAGAAGAAGGTCTGAGCCTGAAGATGAAGAGTCAAAGAAGGACCAAACAGTGTCAAGCACCCGGGCAAGCGCGAAAAACCAAGGGGCAGAGATGGCTCTAGTGGCAGTGGATAGGGAAAGGGTTGGAAGGCCGTCACCAAATGGTCCTGTTGGGGAAGATATGAAGACCCCCTTGCCAATAGAAGACTTTCCAGCTGAACCTGTAGGATCCCCTAAGGCCCTAGGACCCAGGAACCTCCAGCCGCTGTTCAATGAAGCTCAGATAAAGAAAGCTGAGGAACTCAGGTTGAGTGCACCCCTTTTGCAGGGTCCAAGCCCCACCGCAGTAAGCCAGTCTACCGGCGGGTGGGATGGGGGTTTGGCTGCAGGGAAGGTGGGAATGGGGAAGGAAGCTGACATGTCAGAGGGACCATCAAGGAAGGGCCCGGAAGTCTTGATGATGTCACCAATGGGATATCCCTTAGCACCTCAACATGGTTATGGATACGTGCCACACCCCACACAACAAGGAATGTTTGATGAGATGATGTGGCAGTTTCGACAAGAAATGGGACAAATGTCAAAGTCTCTCACCCAGCTTCAAGAAGAAAATTTGAGGTTGAGGATTCAGCTTATGGAAGAACGAGAGACTAGATACACAACACCTCCCGATGTCACTCCTGCTGAAGGTCTCCGTGACAGCGCCCGCCGTCAGAAGGTTTCAGGAAAGAAGCCCAAGTCCAAAGGTGTAGAAGCCAAGCAGGAAGACTTTGAAGCTTCGAAGCCAAAGGAGGGATGCAAGTCGAGGAGAACAGGAGGCTGAGACCCCCAAAGCAGAGGAGGAAGTGATTGGAAAGAAGCTTGAAGAAGTTTCTAAGGAGGATGGTCCAGCTGGACAGCAAGAGTCCAGTGAGGAGAGTCAATCGATTCAAGAAGAGGAGTCGGAAGATTCAGTGAATGTGAAAGATCACAAAGGAAGATCAAAAAAGGAGGACACCACAGTGGACGTGATGCTCAAGTTGATGCAAGGGATGCAATCGCTGCAACAACAGCTCTTGGATCGAGAGACGATCAGGGGCCGACGGCTAACAGAGGACGATGAAGAGGAGCATGTGAGGAGCAGTGTAGAGCTGCACAAACTGCCGGAGTGGACAGCTGAGAATGCTCCGGTGGACTTACAGGACTGGTTGCTTCTCATCCATGCACAGATGTCGGATCTCACTACCAGCAGTTCAGAATGGTGGGATCTAGTGGTTGAGACTGCAAAGGACTGGTACCACAAACACCAAGCCATGAAGCCCATCGACAAGCTGAAGCATGAAGTCAGGGCACCACCGCAACTACAGCAGAAGAAATGGAGAAGGTTGGAGAAGAGAGGAAGCAGTTTGCTTCTTCAGGCCTTGCCCAGTAGTCAGCGTGATGACATTGTGGCAGGGAAAGACCTTTCAGTGTTGGCGATTTTGGCAAAACTCCTCAACAACTACCAGCCTGGTGGTTCCCATGAAAAAGCAGCAGTGCTGGCCGCTTTGGAGCTGCCGGCAGAAGCGGTGGGGATCGGCGAGGGCATCCTGGGACTACGTCGTTGGTTGAGATGGAAGAAAAGGGCAGAAGACATGGGCCTTCAGTTGCCCGATCCATCGGTCCTTTTGAGGGGCCTGGACCGGCTGGTCTCCAAGATTTTGGCTGGCAATCCAACCTTGCAGTTTCGCATTAACCTGACGAGGACAACACTGATGGTGGATTCTGTGCCCACTATGTCTTCCATTGACCAGTTGGCCGAATGCTTACTGGCTGAGATGGACCAGGTCTCCTATGCCAAAAAGAAGGAAAAGGCAGCCATCGCAGGAGTTCCTAAAGCTCGGAAGATGGAGGAGGCAGGAAAAAGAAGCGAAGTGCCTCAAGCCAAGAAGGGCGATGAGGGTAAGAAGGAGATGCCAAAGTGTAAGTACTTCCTGACGGAGAATGGATGCCGTCGAGGAAAAGCTTGCAGATGGGATCACAACCAGAAGGATGACCAGCGTCGCTGCTGGAATTGCGGGTCCACAAAGCACTTCTCCAACAAATGTCCAGTGAGTGAGGGCCAAGGAGAAGTCAAAGTGGCCAAAGCCGAAAAAGATGGCGAAGCCAGAAAGAAGAAGAATGATGAGGAGGACAATCAGTCCGACCGAGCAGTTGCTGGAGCGGACGATATGAAGAGTCTACTGGAAGAAGCTGGAAAGATGCTGAAGGTGATTCCAGGAGCTTCGCAGGAAAGCTCATCGGTTGAGGAGACCGGTGATGCCAAAATCAGGAGACTTCAAAGACAGCTGGATGAGCTTCGAGCTTCTTCGGTGAGAGTGCTGCGATTGGCCAGGGTCCAAGCAGCTGTGGAAGATTTGGGACTCCTTGACAGCGGAGCTACCCATCCTCTTCGACCTCCAAAGAAAGATGAGGATCTGTCCAAATGTCAAAAGGTGAGGATCAATCTGGCCGGAGGAAAACAAACAATGATGATGCTTTCAGAAGGTGGTGCCATCATAGGCTCTGAGGATGTGGAGCCCATCGTGCCACTGGGAGCGTTGGTGGAGAACTTGGGTTGCTCTTTGCAATGGACCGAAGGCCATATGGTCCTGTATCACCCCTTCAAGGGGCAGATTAGCACCCAGCTCAAAGAAGGTTGCCCGATGATCAACAAGTCTGATGCTTTGGAGTTGATCGAGGAGTTGGAAAAGAAGGCACCCGAGCTGAGGAGTGTAGAAGGATCCGCAGCTGAAGCCTACATGCACTGGATGAAGCGCTTGGTAGAAGAACACCCAGCACTTCAAGGAGTTCCAAAAAGAATCACAGAAAGGTTGGTGATCAGCCCTAAGGAAGGACATATCACCGGAAACCGAAGCCGAAGAAAGCTATGGAAGAAAGAAGGAGGGGTGACGTTGTACTATACTCAGGACCCAATGAAGGGTACACTATGGCCAAGGCCATTCAGCTTCTCGGAGGAGAAAAAAGAAAGGTCACAGCGGTGGACATCAAGAACGGAGCCAAATGGGATATGATGGAGGATGACCTCTATGCTGAGCTCATGGACATGGTCATCAAGGGCCAAGTGGAGTCCTTGGTGATGTCTCCAAATTGTCGCACTCGCTCAAAGCTCCGACACTGTGAAGTTGAAGGAGTTGATCTCCCCGGACCGGTCCGAGAGTGGAACGGTGGAGAATGGGGAAAGAAGGGCATCGGAGAAAGAGAGGAGAAGAAGTGCCATGAAGATGATGTGATGCTCTTCAGAGGACTCATGCTCTACATGGTTGCCCAGGAGATCAGGAAAGCATCCCGCCACACCAAAGACATCGACCTTGTCTTTGAGCACCCCAGCACCCCGGCAAACATGCCACAGGTGGTATCGTTCTGGTCCACCCCCCAATGGCAAGCACTCAAGCAAGCATACGGCCTGTGGGAGATCCACTTAGACCAAGGGAAGCTTGGAGGAGGAGGGGTCAAACCCACAACGTTGGGCGGCAACTTGCGCATGCAAGTACCCAGCGTGGTCGTACCAGCACCACAACCTCGATGCACACATGGCAAAACAAAAGAGCAGATAGTGCAGGAATCCCAAAGCCTTTCCAGATGGGTCCCTATGCTTACCGACATGGTAGCATGCGCCCTGCTGGAGTCCCAAGGGATCACCCCGAAGTTGAGATCCTGGAGGACACATGTCCAACGATGCCACCAGCCTTTCAGAAAAGACTGCAAGGTATGTCAAGAGGCTGCAGCAAGAGCGAGACCTCACCGGCGTCAAAAACTTCCCCCAAGAGCTGGCGTTCTTTCGGTCGACATCGCCGGACCACTCACCAAAGCTCCAGACCTGGGCAAGGACCATGCTCGTTTTGTCCTGGTCGCGGCGTTCACCTGGCCTACAGGCCTGAAGGGTGACGACTTGGAAGAGTTGCCCGAGGAGGATGATGAGGATGATTTCCCAGGCTGGGAAGAAAATGAGGAGAAACCAAAAGAAGAGATAGGGTCCCAAAAGCCAGGAGCCAAGAAGCGAGGCAGGCCAAGGAAGAAAGACCCTGAGGAGGAGTTTGAGGAGCTGCTGAGGAGAGAGCAGGAAGAACAGAAGCAGAAACGGCAGAAGGAAAAGGAGGCTGCAGAACCCCCAGGAACTGAGGAGCCCTTAAAGGAGGCCGCAGAACCCCCAGGAGTTGAGGAGCCCTTGAAGGAGGCTGCAGACCCCCAGAAGAAAGATGATGATGAAAAGGAAGGGGACTATATGACCCGGGTGGAGCCCGATGTTGAATATGAGCCCACTGAACCGGGCGAAGACCCTTTCCCACAGGTGCCAGCACCAGATGTCCCTGAAGAGCAACAGGCACAAATACAAGTGCACCGTTTGGCATTCCCCTTGCCAGACAAGAGAGGCATCACGATCTTGAATGCCCTGATCGATGCCTACCTCACCTTGAGGAGTGAAGGCATGTTTGTCAATCAGCTCCACTCCGATTTAGGAGGTGAGTTCACTGGAGCGTACATCGAAAAGTGGTGCAAGGAAAGATGCATCCTCACAACAACAACCCCAGGGGTATCCCCTCAAACCAACGGCCGAGCAGAAAGGGCCGTACAAGCCATGAAGACAGAGACGAAGAACCTGCGTGGCGCACAGGTGGGTATCGAATGGTGGCCGATTGCCGTTCGATATCTCAATGAAGTATGGAAGAGAAGCAGAACAGAGGCCATTGGGGCCATCCCACCATTCATGTCCAAAGTGCTGATCAGAAGAAGGTATTGGCGCACAAAGGACATGGAACCCAACAACGAAGAGGTTCACTACCTCACCCCTTCCTGGCGGAACTATGGGCATTGGGTACTTCGCTCAGACAACACACAAACCTTGACCAGGGCTGTCATCACCAACACCGTGGAGCCAGTCACTGAGGACACGTGGATTGCCTTAGAAGACAATCTGACTCCCTTGGATCTTCGAAGGAGAATTCGAGGAAAAGCCATGATCAGAAAGGTACAAGAGGAGAAAGATGAAGAAAGCAGGCAAGACAGGCTGAAGCGGGAAAAGGTGATACAGGAAGAGGCAGAACATGCCTTCTATGATGATGAAGAGGTTGTTGAGGCCGTACTCAGGGGGGTGAAAGCCATGCAGGAGATGGATCAAGAAGATGAAGGAGAAGTGCTCCAAACGAAAATTGTGGGCACTGCTGAGGTGGTAAAAAAGAAAGACCTTTGGCATCAGGCCATTTCCAATGAGATCACTTCACTCTTCTCAGAAAAGAAAGCGTTGAAGCTTTTGACGAAAGAGGAGAGCGACAAGTATCTCAAAGAAAGAGGAGCGATTCCACTACCTTCCAAGACCGTATTTACGGTGAAGCCAGACCCGGCTGATCGTCGGGGAAAGCGAAAATGCCGCATAGTTGCATGTGGCAACTATGAGACTGTGGGTGGAGATGAAAACTGCTTTGCGGCAGGAGCAGATGCTGCTGCCCTTAGGCTGGCGCTTGCTCTGGCCACAGTTCGCAAATGGTGCGGAATCAATGTGGACATTCGCACCGCCTTTTTGAACGCTCCCTGGAAACATGAAAAGGGGGGTGAAGATTGGTTTTTTGAAGAAGAAGGCGAAGAAGCTCCGCTGCCAATGCTTCTTAAGCCACCACCAATTTTGGTCAAACTTGGCTACTTTCCTCCCTATCAGCTCTGGGAGGTTTTGCGGGCTCTTTATGGCTTCCGGAGGTCTCCGAAACTCTGGAAGGATTACAGAGATGAGGAGATGGAAAAGATGAGAGTTGGAAAGATGAGGCTGCATCAGCTTGAATCAGAGCCGAGCACATGGGCCATCCGCCAAGAAGAGACTGGCGAATTGCAAGGGCTCATGCTCACCTATGTCGATGACATTTTGGTCCTTGCCTCAGAGGAGACTGCAGAAGCTTGGATCAGCTGCATCCAATCCAAGTGGGAAACCTCCGTCCCTGAGAAGGTGGGCTGTCAGCAAACCACCCGGTTTTTGGGTATGGAGTTGTCTCGAGATCAAAATGGAGTGTGGTGCGCCACTCAACACTCCTACACTTTGGATCTCTTGCAGAAGAACATGGGGATGGACAGAGAGAAGTGGGGATTGAAGAAGATTCCCATGTCAAAAGAGGATGGAAGTTTGGATAGTGATGGTGAGGATGATGCAGAAAAGACAGTAGAAAAGGTTCGAGAAGCACAGAGAATTGTAGGTGAGCTGACCTGGCTGGTGACCAGGTGTCGCCCCGACATCATGTATGTCATGTCCAGAATTTCCAGATGGACCACCAGACGACCTTCCAAGGTCATCGCTGCAGCGCCTCAAATCTGGAAATACCTTGCGAATTCCATCCAAGAAGGGATTCGCTTTGGAGGAAACGAAGATGGTTGCCTAGACCTCCTGGTCTACACCGACGCGGCCTATGGAAATGAAGGCCACGGATGTTCAGTGGTGATGTGGCTGGGAGCTCCAATTTTGTGGCGAAGCCCGCGCCAACAACTTCAAACCGCATCCACAGCAGAGTCGGAGCTGTTGGAGATTTTGGAAGGAGGAGTTTTGGCCGAGGCAGTCAGAGTAGTGGTAGAAGAAATTTTGGAAAGGGCAGTGCGATGTTGGCAGTACTCGGATTCTGCCTCAGCCATCGCCATAGTTGGAGGCGACAGTGCGTCCTGGAGGACGCGCCACTTGAGAAAGAGGGCTCGCTACATGAGATGGCGGGTGCTGAGTGGAGATGTCATCCTCCGACACACTCCAGGCAACGGCATGATCGCCGACCTGGGCACCAAAGCTTTGGCGGCATTGAAGTTGGAGGAGCTGAAGAAAGCCATGGGCATGACAGATAGAAAGATCAAAACAGAAAAAGAAAAGGAAGATCTCGGTGTGGTGAGAGGGCCTACCGAAGAAAAAGAAGAGAATGGCGTGGTGAGAGAGCCGGCCATAGAGACGAAAGAAGCGAAAGGAGGGATAAAGTCCCCAAAAGATATGGTCAGGATGGCGATGATCATGGCCATGCTCAGCCGAGCGAGGGCCGAAGATGAAGATGGAGATGCAGGAGAGGAATCATCCATCTTCTTTGACATGATGATGGTATATACAATAGTGGTGGTGTTGGTCACGTTGGCCATTCAAAGCGGCTGGCAGCGACGACTGCTCAGGGCTGAGACGGCTGTGGGATCAGATCGATCCCGCGGCGAACTCGCTCAACGGAGTGCCAGGACATCGGGTCTGATGACCGATGGTCCAACCTCCGTCCCGGGTGAGACGGTTCTGGGATTCGGTGGAGGAGACCAATCTCGGGACGAACTCCCCAGGGGAAGCAGTCAGTTGCTCGGGAGTGCCAGGACATCAGGTCTGACGTCACAGACTGGTGGTCCAACCTCCCTGCCGGGTGAGACGGTTCTGGGATTTGGTAGAGGAGACCAATCTCGGGACGAACTCCCCAGGCGAAGCGGCCAACCATCTGGGAGGACGTCGGGTCTAGCGTCACAGACCGATTGTCCAACCTCCCCGCCGGGTGAGACGGTTCTGGGATTTGGTAGAGGAGACCAATCTCGGGACGAACTCCCCAGGCGAAGCAGCCGGCCATTTGGGAGTGCCAGGACGTCGGGTCTAGCGTCACAGACCGATTGTCCAACCTCCCCGCCGGGTGAGACGGTTCTGGGATTTGGTGGAGGAGACCAATCTCGGGACGAACTCCCCAGGCGAAGTGGCCCACCACTAAAAGAAGAAAAGGAAGAAACACCAAAGGCTGTAAAAAGAGCCAAAAGTATGGGCCAGTCTTCTGCGTCCAAACAGGACGGACAGAAGAACACTTATGGCCAACCAGCTTCAAAACTGGAAGCTCCGCTACCAGAAGATCAAACAGCCTCTGCAGGAATCCAAGAACCAGCGATTCCCAAGGCGGCAGCAGAAAAGAAAGAAGTTGCTCCGCCACCAAAAGTTTTGCAATCAAAGTCAAAAGGAAAGAAAGGTGATGAAAAGAAGCCAAATGAAACGACCTCAACAGGGATGACGCAGATCAGAACCAACCATGCTGCAGCCGAGCCAAAAGTTGCAGCTTCCTCATCCACTGGCACTGGTGCTCAGATCCCTACGGATCCATCTTCCAGTGCTGACCCATCGATTGACCTGTACTTTACAGGCCTTGGAAAGAAATATCACTTCCGAAAGGATTGCTATGGGTTGAGAAATTCACAGATGGTGCGGCACACCGATATCTGTGAGCAGTGTGTTCCTCAACTTCGCGGATGGCATCCTCGAGGGAGAGACATGTATGGAGCGGGATTGAATGGACCCCAGCACACCGATGTGACTCACTGCGAAAAAATGCATGGATATTCCATTGCGTATCAGCCGTGTAATTGGTGTGCGAGGCCAAATGAAAGCGAAAAGTGAAAAAAGGTGCGATGACATGCAAAGTGAAAAATTTTGGAAAAGAAGAGCGGAAAAAGAACATCTGAGAGAGGGCTTGAGCTTTGAATGTAACACTGTCGTGCAGATGGTGTGAGATATATTTTGCTTTTTTCGTGTGACTGTGCCTCTAGCGAAACACAGTCAGGGGGTGTGCGAATTGCATATTCCCTATTTAGCATTCATGTCATGACTTTGCAATTGTCATTTCAATCAATGGGCATTTCACCATAGCCCTTTTTCCAAGCTCAAAGATCGGTCGGAAGACCGGTGAGTCCAACGTGAAGGACTTTGGAAAGAGAGTTAAAAGCGCAGGACCACTTGTCTGACCGTGGAGGACTTTGTGTGTCTAACGCAAGGAGTTTGAGGTGTGGACTAGTACCTGGCTTTTCTGGCCGCAGACGTGTCAGGACTGTCAGTGCTAGTACCCCCGATAATATTACCCGGGTGAACCTGTCGCGAACAGAAACCACCAACCAGAAAACTAATCACGCCTTAATTTTCTCTGGGGTGGGATAAAGTCACCAAAGCAGACCATCTGCAACTGCGATGTTCCTATGTGGAAAGAATCCCATTAAAATCCCATTAAAATCCCATTAAAATCCATTAATCACCATAGAATTCCATAAACTCCCATTAACCCCCCATTTCTCACTAATCCAACCCACGCGTTCTTGGCCGCCAGGTTTCCGCATTTGACGCGCTTCCGCAGCTTCGCCGAGCTGATGGAGCAGCTTCCCGCGCTGCGAACGGAGGAGGTGACGGAGGGCATGCGGAAGTTCAACGAGGAGATCGGTGGCGGAACGGCGGAACGGCGCAACGGGACAGGATGATATGAAGCCAGGGGTTATGTGGAATCTAGGGGATATATTTGGGGTTACATGACTTGTACTATATGACATATGAGGATGTTTCTGAAGGTTATATATATATATTACTGTGTGTATATATATATATGTATAAGTTATATAAGTATTTCTATATCTATAAGTATGCATTTAAATCTATAAGTTCTGATTATTTATTTATATATGTAACTCTCAGGAATGGGAATGGAACTTGGGATACACACTGAGATAATATATATATATACATATACATATATATATATACATATATATATATAGCCAAGAATATGGCAATATGGGGAACTGGGGGCGGTATCATGTAACCAAACATGGGGAATACAGTTCATGAGATTGGGAAAAAATTGGATAGAAATGGGGGGCCGACCAGGTCGACCTTTCGGGGTGCTTCGTTGGGATTATGGTCCATGTGCCATTGAACATGGCCCATTTGTAGATGACTCAGCTACCATCTGCTTATGACTAACATAGCCATGGGATTTCGATGGCCCATAGAAATAGATGGTTTACCTAGCTACAAAATGGTGATTTTCCATGGCAAACTGTTAGTCATAACCAGAGGGTATTTGAGATGATGATCTTTCACTTCGCAACAACTGCCAGGGGGTATACCTTATCCACATCAAGTGGATCGTGACCGAAATCAGCATCCCCAACAACTGATTCACAACTGCGGAAACACAGGAGGGTTGCTAATCAGCTTGAAGAGGTTGTTTTTTTTGTGTGTGATATTCAATTTTTTTGTTGGCTCTTCCCTCACTTTTCATTCTTTGTGTTTTGAATACCCTTTGGCTAAGCAAGTTGAAAGTCGAAACTATACACCAGAATCAGGTGTTTTTTCATGTTTGTCCAGTTTGTCTTAGAAATTCTTTCTATGTCACCCAGAGGGTGCCCCCCCTCCCCTCTCCCTTCCACTGCCTTCCCAGCTTTTCAGGAGACTCTAGCGTCGTCTTTGGACTTCTACCGTTGGGCCGCAGCAGCCTTGCTCAAGGCGCCCTTGGTGTGGGGTCTGAATTCTGCAGAGTTGGCGAGATGAATCTGAGATGAAAGATGGCCAGAAAACATACTGATTTTGGCCAAAAATAGAAGGACCCATAGTAAGCACGAGGTGGTGATAGGTGAATGAACCACTAAGAATCTTACTGTTTTTTGGCTGAAATCTTCAGCCTCCCCCAACGTCCGCGGCGCACCAGACCTAAGCAGCCCCAACGTCTGCGTGCTGCGTGACGCCGCACGACTTCGAAGATGAGATGAGACGCGGAGATGGAGGTTGGCAAATGATTTTTTTGTCGGTGAATTCAACGAAGCCTTCCACCTACCCTCTGGTAATTTGGTATGGCTTGCGAAGTGGAACATCACAATTTTTTAAGTACGGTACGTCATCTGTAAACCATCGAACTAAATAGGCCATTGTCCATAGTTATGTTAAATGATCAGAGTGACATGTATTTTTTATTGATGGATTTCCAGGAACCATTAAACATAGACATTTAACATTTAACCATCAACCATTGCGGACTTTTTCATGATAATACGATGAATTCCAGCCCATTTTCCCCGGAGGTATGGAGGTTCAACTGTGATATGAGGGCATAATATTAACTTAATATAGAATATGAGGGCTATAGCCTATGCAAGCGGACTAATGGCACAGGCTATTATGGCTGCTGCAAGAGAGGGGACACCACTCGGAAGGGGCAAAGCGCCTTGCGTTCAGGTGCAAGTTCTCTCGCCTTTTTCAACTTGAAGCCAAGCTTTCACGGAAGAGACGATGTTTTGTCTCTGAGTATGACGTGGAACGTTCATCGGTCCCACCTCCCCAAATTTATGTGCTATAGTAGGTTCATGAGATGAAAACATCTTTGGAAAGAACCCGACAAAACCCCAAAACAGCAAACGACCAAAAACAACAAGGAAAAAACCCGGTCAAGAGGGGGTTAAGACCTTATTCCCCAAAAGTTCTTCCTGAGTTGCAACTCTGGATTCTAGTGGTCCAAGTCCTGCGGCTTTCCGGCGGCGGGCAGAAGCACGCTCGGGATCTTCAACCATCCTCCAGCACTGGCCCATCCCGTAGAACAGCTCTAACTGCTTGTATTCGTTGGACTTTGTCAAACCATTGGCTAATTGGGCTTCGCCATGAACCCACCGTATTTTCACATAGTTTCTCCATTGTGCGGACTTGAGAGCCAAGAGCTCCAAATCAGTTCTCTTCTCTGCCCCTCGGATGTTGAGTGTCTCAGTTTCCATCTTGTCGTACACGTTCCTGGAGTCTGTCACCAGACTGCCGTCAATAGAGTTGACGGTGGCATCTACATTTCGGACATCCACGGGGACTCCCATCATTTCGGCCAGCTGGAAACGGCCGTAGTACAAGGTGTCTTCACCATTGATGGCCACCAAAGCTTCCGCTGCTCCTGGGCTGCGGCAACGGCGCTCGATTTTCTGCGAGTGCCAAGCTGCCAGCGACACTGGTACGCAGTCACCATGGCTCATGCGCTTGGACGCTATGCCCAGTACTATACCTTGGGTGCTCGAGCCATCATGACGGTTCTGTGAACCCGCATCGACCCAAACATACATGGCAAGTTCATCAAAAGGTATGTGGTGAACCTTCAACCTGTGGCCTTTCATGCTCTTCACACGGTCCATGAGCTTATTGGCTTTGAACACAGTTTCAACAGTGCTAGTGTTGACTTGGGACAGCAGTAACCCTACTTCAGCTGCAAAGTGTGGGGCAACCTGCTGTGCATGCCATGAGACCCCTCCTAAAAGCGCTCGCAACTGGGTTTTTTCCCATTCATCCGTCAGTGCATGTTTGTCTCTTTTCCGGTGGGCCCTTAAGTTGATATACTTCAAGTCCTCAACGTATTTTTCCTGTGACAGACTAAAGGACTGGTCACTGTGTTGTTCGATGAGGACTCCGCACTGGACAAATTTGTCTTCTTCCCAGTCACTCCATTTGTATTCCTTCTTGACCGCTTCCAAAACTTTCAGCCACTCGCTGCAGCTCTCTTTTCCCGAAAACAAAAAGTCATCCACGTGTGCGGAAATGATTCCCTTTAGGTTTCCTTCCGCACAGAAAATCCAGCAACATGGGTCAGACCAGCACCGTTTTAGTCCCAGTCTTTCAAAAAAGCTACATACCGACCTATACCATTCGAGAGGTGCATCCACCAGTCCATAGCATGCCCGTTTTACCCGTGTCAGTGACTCTGGAGGCAGGCCCATCGCCTGGCAAATCTCTGGTGTGGTGTGGGAATGCAGTGGAGGATTCCAGGGTACTCCCTGGACTGCAGAAACGCTCCTGTCACATCGCCTTTGCGCATTTTGAACCCCAAAGAAGCTGACAGTTGCAATTGTAACTGTCTGGTCTGTCGAGTCGTTGTAGGGCTATTGGTTGACCGCTGCTCATAACAGGGATCTTGATACCCCAACAACACGGCTCTGGCCTTTGCCTTTTTGGTGCCGTCTTGTTTGTACTTCCAGGTGAGTATCCACCGCATGCGGATGGCCTGTGTTGTGGAGGGTTTCAGGTTCTCTGGCAAGGCCTCAAATGCCTTGGCAGCTATGAAATTGTTGATTTCCTTTTCCTCAGGACTCAGGTGTTTTTCAGAGACTTCAATTGAGGCTCTGCGCTTGAAGCTGTTGGTGAAGAAGGCAGGAAGGTCATTGATTGCTCGTTCTGCACCGGCTCTATTTCCTGGCATTTCCACGCATGTTGTTGGTTGCTCCAGAAGCTGCTATCCGTGGCACTGCAGGCTTGTTGTACTATGGGGTTATCCCACCAGGATTCTCCAACCATGAAAGCGTCATGAGTGGGCGGTGGTGTGGATGCCATAGCCCGTTGTCGAGGACTTCTTGACCTGGTGGTTCGGCCTGGTTCTTGAGCCAGTGGATGATCCAAGGGATCCAACTCCATAGGGGTGGCCGGAGGTCCTCTCTTGCCCCGACATCGGTGAGTAGGTATCCAGCTGCTGCCAGCGGGATCTTGTGCTGTTTCCCACTCCATTTCAGTGGGCACCTCTTTAGAGACGTCCAAGTACTCATTGCCACCGAGCTCAGCAGCTACACGGTGAAAGTCCCAAGAGCTCTCCACCGGGCCATGTAGCTCATGTAGCAGTTTTTCTCGTTCAGAGGCATGGCGCAATTGTTCCATACTGCACTTCCAAAGGCGTCTTCCTCGGACGCACCAGACTGAGCTTGAAGCCTTTGAACTTCCATCACTGGAGTGGCGGTGCTCGGTTGCTAATACCCTCACAGGGCCCACAAACGAGCCTCCCTTCACGCTAGCTTGTCCACTCACTTGTTGTCTCCAGACATATACAAGATCTCCTGGTTGAAAGTCCACAGCAGTCCGACCCTTAGAGTTAAGGGCTCGTTGAACTCGCTGTTCGTTATTCCAGTCCAAAAAGGCTTGCTCAGCCACTTTCATTCTTTCCAAATTCCGAAGGAATTCTCCATTGGCATTTTCGACCAAAAGGTCAGGACTGTCGCCTCCTGCTCGAGGAAACAAACGGCCGGAAGCATCTGGTGCTCGGCCCAAGGCATGCTGGATGGGGCTGTAGCCCGTGATCATTTCTCGCTCGTTGAAGACCCACAGCGCGTCACGCACTGTGATGTCTGGTTCTGCGAGCGCTTGTTTGGACATCAGCTCTTTGATACCCTTCACTGCATTTTCGCAAGTTCCCAGTTTCCAGTGTGCCTCTCCAGGTATGATGTCCAAAAAAACCTTGTGTCGGTCGCAGTATTCAGCTATGGCATTGCTGCGAAACGTGCCATCGGGGTCTACTCGCAGGGTGTCTGGCAGGCCAAAGTACTGGCTCCAGCACTCCTGGAAGGTTTCTAAAAACTGTGAAGCTCCTACATGGTACTTTTTCCCTTCTCCTAGTACTCTGCCAACTCTAAACCTTGAGCCTTCATCGATGACTACCAAAAACTGAAAGGTTTGACCGGAGACTGGATGTTCCCATGTACCCATGTCAGCTGCAACTGTTGACCACTTAGGTGGCAAGGGTTCCAGAGTGGACACTGGCCGAGGCTGAGGTCTTTTTCTTTCAACACAAACAGGGCATTCAAACTGTTCCGCCAGCTCTAACACTTGCCTATCAACCCCCCTACGCCGAAGAGACTGCAGCAAATGACGAACCGGACCATGACCCGTGGCTGAGTGCAAAAGATACAGTTTTCGTTTCACCTCCTCTTTTTCTGCCGCGCTCAGTGGGGCTCGCAATGAATCCCCTGCTGCATGAGCATGTTCACTGGGTTGTTCCCTCATAGGTGTCCTAGTAGCCTCATCGGGGGAGATTGAAACCGGGGCCATATGTTGAGTTTCAGTAGCCACATGGGGGTGTTTCCTAGAACCCTCGGCATTTTGGAAATGGACTTTTGGGGTCTCCCCTACTGGATGAGCTTCGACCGCATCACAGTGTTGGTGATTTCCCGTCGGACAGCTTTGGTGGTCATTTCCCCTCAAAAGCCCCAGTTGGTGGTGGTTACACATGCCGCAAGTGAGGTTAGCTTCATGACGTTGACCCTCAGTGCATAAACATGAGATTCCGTTTCCAAAAGCATCCAACAAGGTGGTAATCCCTTGCAACTCCCCACGCACTTCATCACGGCTACAACCCTTTTTAATGGCTTGACAAACCCTGGTGGCAAAACCGTGGGGGTAAAAAGCAGTGCCGCTGGTAACCGACCCTTCACACTTCACATGTTCAACATGTTTGGGGCACTTACATGGCAACTCCATTCTTTGAGCCAGCAGGGAGTGAGTGGTCATCAACTTCCAACCCTTGGACACGAACTGTTCATGTTTGTCAACCAAACCTACCTGGCAGCCTCGAACAACCGCAAAAAAGGGGTTATACTTAGCAACCAGTTTCTGCATGAAGGGTAGCCGCCACCCTTGACAGCTTTGGGACCACTCCCATGTTACATGGATACCCTTTTGAATGCAATAACTGTAAATCAAAGCACACCCTACATACTGACGCAAGGCATCACGTCTCTTTTCTTGGAGTTCTTCACACTGCTTTGGGGTACGCTGGTTGATTTGTTGCATCACAGAGTATGGGCCACAAATGGGGGACAACCACACATGTTCGGGATTGGTTTGGTCAATCACCTGAATGATTTTTCTAACCCCGGCATTGGTGGACAGGTCAAATCCATTAAACAGGGAGCAGCGGCGGGCTGACATTTCATCTTTTGTGAGGCGCTGCATAGTCTCAGTGAGAATGCTTTCATTGGAACAGGCTACTTCCAGTAGCTTGGGACGGCCCTCTGATACCAAGGATCCAAAAGCCTCAGGGAGCAGGTCATCAGACTGAAAAGCTAACTGTCGAGCCTTGTGCTCCGGCAAAGGCTCCCATGTGGCTCCCTGTGATACATCTATTGTACATTGGAACTGGCAGATCCTATCACTCAGGGCCGGGCTCTCACGCTCAGTAGTGCTCAGGGGGAAAGGACCCTGAAGGAGCCCTCGGTCATCTGTTCGTCTGGCTTCTCGGTCTTCTTGCGAGGGCGTTCCTCCCGGAGAGCAGCAACCTCCTCTTGGAGAGACTGGATCATCTGGATCAGGGCCTCGTTCGACTTCGAGCTGCTGTCTGATGCGACAGATGCCGCTGCTGCTGTTTGCTTCCGGGCTCCCTGAGCCTTTGCATTCAGAGCTTTCTTGACCTCTTTGGTTGGTTCGACTTGGCGGCTCTCCAGCCACTTCGCCAGGCGCAACAGCCGGTAATCGGCTTGGCCCTCGGAGGCTGTCTGTAGCACCCATTTCACATAGCCGGGCTCCGTCATGAACAGCTCCTCGTATGACAGGGCACTGTGGACTCCAAAACCCGTGGGGTCGTGAGGAGTCGGTGGTGTGATCTCGTAGATCTTGCGAAGGCATGCCTTCTGTAGCTGGGCAATGGTCTCGTTCCCGGTCACATGCATCTGCAAGCGGGTTCTGGTGAACTCCTGTAGGTCGGCCCTCTTCTTGCTGCACTTGTTCATTTCGATGGCCAACACTCGAAAAGGGGTGTTCCTTTTTCCAGAGCTCTGAAGGGTCATGCCTTGTTCCTCCTTGATCTCTTGGATCCTCACCTTCAGCTCGGGGATGGTCCACATCGATGGAACCTCCTCGCCCAAGCCCTGCAACTCGAGGATGTAGTCCTCCTTGTTCATGCGCGCGGATGGCATGGCCGTTGAAGACACTGGCGGCTGTCCCTGCACCGTTTTGGTCACAGAGTTTGTGAGCACTCGCAGGAGCAGCGACATCAGGAGGGTCAGGGTTTTTTTTCCCCAAGAAGGCCGTTTCTCCCTCATGACCGGTGGTAACACAAACAGAACCCTCAACACCATAAACAACTTCATGATTCTCACCCCTACTTTCACCATCATCATCATCATGTTCCATCTCATGAACCTTTGACAAAAACTTGCCTGTCGCTTTGCTAGGCACCTTACTTTCCTGGGCAGGCACTGGGAAAGCAAGGAGTTGTCCCTAGATATATTCACGCAGGCTAGGGATCGACCGGTCAGAGGTCTTTGAGTCCTCGTGCCAGTCCTGTGTCAAAGGGAGAAGCTGGTGGCCCGTGCAAGATCTTTCCAACTGGATGACCTTTTTGTCATTCAGAGACCTGAAACACACCAGATCCTCAGCAAAATCTATCACGGCTCCTAAGGCTCTCAGGGAGGCAATGCTGAAGAGGACAGGTCCCTCGCCACTGTCGAGAGCATGGATCTGTAGGTGACCTTCACGACCATCAGCTTCGATCTTGAAGGCTGCAGTCGACACGCACTGATTGCGTGTGGAATTGCCAAAACCAAACGTAGGTCTCTCATCCAAGTTCAGGCTCTTCAGACCATTGGATCCATTGCGCTCGTAGTTGAGCTCCATGAGGCGCTCCAAGGCTCGGACTGAGCCGATGGTGCGAGTAGCACCCCCATCCAACACGGCCTTGCCTTGACTCACCACATCTTCCGTTGAGGGAGGTGCTGCTGCATAGACGCTGCCGGTGGAGGCATTCTCAACCAAGTTGCCCTGGGCATACTCTGGAGGATCGCCCTCGGCGAAGCACACAAAAGGAGCAGTGTGCTCCTCAGACGCTGTGGCGGCCGTCGAGGTTGACTTTGGACAGTTGGCTGTCCGGTGATCACCACCACATCGCAGGCAAGTGCCTGTACCCTTGTGGTCATGTCCCTTGCCTGAGCCCTTTGGACCAGACCGGAACGTAGTCTTGTAGTACTTCCTGGACATGCGCACTTGGTGTTGTTTCTCACGAGCTTCTCGAAGGGTTCTGCGGCCATTTTGCATCGCCAGCAGGGCACGATCAACTTCTTCTTGGGCAGCAACAACCAGAGCTTGTCCCTCCTCATTGAGGTCATCCATGGCGATGAACGCATTGTCATCTTCACCCGAGTCAGCTTCATCCATCCACCAGCCACTCTGGCGGTTGTTCTGATCTCGTCGACGAAGATCATCATCTGGCCACTGGTTGCGAAGTTCCTGAGCCACCCTGTCGAAGCTGAAGTCCTGCTTGATGGCCGCGAGGATCATGTTGCGCTCGCCTGTGTCCAGGCCTGAGTCACCCAAGAGGTACCAGCCTTGGATCATGTCAGGCAAGATCTCTGGAGCTTCGGTCGTCCAGTCGGCATCATCAGAGTGCCAGGCTGTCTGACTCCAGGCATCGTGTCCCCACCATTGATCCCAGGCACTATAGCTGGACTGCGAACCCTGTTGGGTGCCATGGCTCTGTGAGGAGCGAGCCCAGGGGTCATCTTCTTCAGGCTCCATGGTGTTCTGGCTCTCATCATTCTCTCCAACTTCTTCTTCTTCGGGCACTGAGGGCGTAGCCGAGGTAGTAGATCTCTGCCACTGGAGGTCAGGCCTCGATGTCACTTGTGAAGAGGTTCCAGACCATCGGCTCGAGGTCTGTCCATAGGCTTTCAAAACTCGGCCAAGCGACTGCTGAGCCCGGGTGTATGTCTCGGTCTTCCGGGTGATGTAGTCGTTCATTGTCTCTCCCCGTCGGCGTCTTCCTTGTTTGAAGTAACGCGTCAGGTGTTCTGTGAGTTCAGGTAGTTGCGGAAGTCCTAGTCGACTGCGCAGGTGCTCCATGAGCTTGACCACACCCCCATTGTAGGACACCCAGTCATGCCTTTTACCCAAGACATATCGTCGGGCGGTGCCCGTGAGTTCTGCCACCAGCCGAGGAGCGCTCAGGTATCGCTTGTGAGAGGCGATCCCCTGCTCCCACAACAGCGATGCTTCTTCATACTCCTGGAAGGTGGCTGCATCACCGTCCCAAATTGGGACGCCGTCTCTTGACTTTTCTATCTTCTTTTGTCTTTCCATCTAGTCCACTTGTATGCCCCCGACGGCTCTGGCAGTCGGGGCCTTTCGTCCCTGGATCCTTCTTTCTCACGCCCCCTTGGGGGCTCCGCTACCGTGCAAGCGGACTAATGGCACAGGCTATTATCTCGGAAGGGGCAAAGCGCCTTGCGTTCAGGTGCAAGTTCTCTCGCCTTTTTCAACTTGAAGCCAAGCTTTCACGGAAGAGACGATGTTTTGTCTCTGAGTATGACGTGGAACGTTCAGCCTATATATCTGTGCTATATGTGAATGGACATGTTTGGGGGCTTACCAGCTATTTTTCTCATGAAAAATAGGGATAGCTCGTACTGATGTCCCTGGAATCATGGTTTTTATGGATGGAATCATCCCAGCTGGCCGCAAGTTTCAGGTGAGTGAAAGATTACAAATTACCCAGTTTATTGGATTAGATTGGATTAGATTGATAGATTGACAATTTACAGTTTATCTACAGTCATTTCATTTACTGACCCAGATTATGAGATTGATAAACCCGTGCAGTTTTTACGGGGAGTCCGAAGGACCAACCTCGCCGCTGTGGCTCGCAGGCAGAGGTAGCGTCAACTGGCGTCAACTGATCAGCTCAGAAGATAGCGATGGAAATCTATGGTTGTTGACTCTGTTGACCTTTAGTGAGGAAATGGTCTCTGGTGGATTTTCTATGGATTTTCTATATATTTGTTGAGGGTATCAGCAATTTCACGAGTGGCCAGCCAAAGAATTCAATCTCCGGGCACCAAAGACAACCATTTAGTTTTTTTTTGGAACTTTAAAAATATACCCTCTGGTAAACATACAAAAAACTATTGAAAATAGCCATTTATAGTGGATCTACCCATGAAAATGGTGATTTTCCATAGTTATGTTAGTTTACCAGAAGGTATGAGTATGCTGAAATGCTGCGGACAACTCACTCTCAACCTGTCCCACCTACCAAGCCTGCTGATTTCGCTTCGTAACCAGCGTCGTTGGGTTCGAGCACGAAATGGGGTGTCATGGGGTGTCCATGCGCCTGAATCAACGGCAATTGCAATCTGCAGGTTTTTCCTAATTGGTATGATGGGGGTAGCAAGCAACTTTCGCAAAATACATTAGTATATCATCATATTTTCCATATATATAAATATATATATATATATATATTCATTCTTTGATTGGTTTATCTATTTGCATATATATTGATTTATTCGTTTATTTATTCGAGATAAGTGGCTCCACTACCAATTAGTGACCAGATGTTTTTGGTTCGCATGGATCCAGGTGAGTGAAAGAACATGTTCCCATCTTTGGTTCTTGCATCTTCCATTGAAGGTGTAGTTCACCGCCAAGCAACCATGAGTCTCTGCCATGGGTGAGATGATTTGGACCAGCGGAGTTGGGGATGACGTGCGGCTGCATGTCTTTCAGCATCTGTGGCCGAGAGAATGGTGCCTCTGTGATGAACACTTCAGCAGACTGTGATGAGAATTTGAGTTGGGGATTTGCATGGAAAAGTGTCCTCAATAAATATCTGCGATGGATTGCATTGGGAATACTAAGGGGATATAAAACAAAAATCAATTGGGGATGTTCATGGGCACCCAGATATATTTTGGGCAAGTTGGGATGATGTCAGTGCTGCAGACAAACTTGGAGGTTGCTTGGTTGTTCTTGAAGCTTTTGAGACTTGGGTAGTACTTGATTTTCAACATTGGATAGTAACAATATGCAAAAAATACCTAAAGATGCCTCCATTGGTCCATTGGTATCCACTGGTCTCATTGATCTTATTGCTACCCCCCAAAACAGCTAGTAAAAATTACCCTAAAGAATCCTAAAGATGCCTATATTGTCCATTAGTCACTAGTCTCATAAGAATCTTATTGGTACCAAAAAGTGGGTCGCTAAGACTGTCATCCCAGGTTGACGCTTCGCAGCCTGTGTGGCGCGGCGAAACGCTTCCTGGTGCAACAAGAGGTGCAGGAAGGCCTCATCGCTCTGCTGTCCGAGGACCGCGCTGTTCGAACCGCAGCTATGGCTGGACCCAGTCTGTATCGAGGTGAATAGAGAAATAGCCAGCAATAAAAATGATAGAGCCAAATTCGATAACTAGTGATAGATAAATACCATGGATAAGTACATGATGATACATGAATACCTGGGTATGTGTTGTATCACCAGTTTCAGCATGATTCGAAAAGTGCCTTTCGTCCGCGTTTCAGGACGCCTTTGCGTTGACTTCACCATTTTGGCAGACCTTGCGAAAGGCCATTGCCCTTTGGCACTATGATCCCAATAAGGGATGCAAGATGTCAGGATGGATCAAGCTATCCCAGGGATCCCAGGGGTGCCTAAATGACTCAACATACTGTACCCTCTGGTAAACATACAAAAAACTATAGAAAATCACCATTTACCAGTAGTACCCGCACATTGGGGGATATCAACTCAAGAATCATGGGTATATTTACCCTCTGGTAAATTAAGATAACTATGGAAAATCACCATGTATAATAGGTAAATCAACTATTTTTATGATCATTTTCAATAGCTATGTTAAATTGCCAGAGGTGCGTTTTTGGTTAATTTCATACATTCTCCAGACCTCATCCAGTTGACGATTACGTCAACATGGCTTTTCCAAACATAGTGGGGATGCAGGTAAGCAATGATGGATAAAAAATGATATATCCAAACAAATTTGGATGAAAACTTGGCTCTTCGCTGGGTCAAATCTGGGTGATACTACCGGGCACCAGTTTTCACTAATCGCATCTCAGAATCTCTGAAGGCCACTCCGTTATCCATCTTGCCAAAGTTTCACCCTCATCATCCAGATCCTTGTCATCATCCGGATCTCATCCTCCCTTCTTGTTGGTGAACCCTACATTTTTGTAATGACCTCCCAATCTTTTTAATGCTTTTTGACTCCCAATTTTCCAAGCCATCCATTCTTCATACTCAAACAGATCCTCATTTTTTCCTGTTGAGATCAGTTGGTTTCAATCTCCCAAGGGTTTTTTGATCCGCCCATCCCATCATCCCATCATCCCATCACCATCCCCAGGTCCTCAACGGCCCCGCCGCAATGGGGCTGCTGACCTCGGCCTTCGCCGCCATGGGCCGCACCAAGTCACCTGGCGCAGCGATGGCGTCGTGCCGCGGCGGCCGGGCGCGGCTGCTGGGGCGCTGCTTCACGGTGGCGGCGCAGATGGGGCGAAGCAACGTGGTGACCTTGGCATTGAGACTCTTGGCCTTGGTTAGTCACCAAGGTGAAGTGAGGTTCATCTATTTTAAAAATGTTTCATGGGTTTTGATCCATATCCCATTTGGCAATTGGCTGAGTTCATGTGATCACAGTTTTAAGATGGTGTTTGATGCTTTCTGTCCATTAAAAATCATTAAAGGTCAAGGCGATGGGGTACACAAGCAGATTTGGGGAGAAGTTTCGGGAAAGATCGACTGGCGGGTTTTATGGCCAATTGGGAGAATTATATCATTATAGTAATCTCCAAAAAGATAGAAAAGGTATTTTTGCTAAAATCTCCCATGATTCCTTGGTTTCTATTTGGTCACCAAAACTATTGATAGTAACTAATGATAGAAAACTATTGGATAGTAAGTCCAAGTTGGTCATGAATTACTTTCGATGATTTTGAACCATGATTCCAGAACCGAAAGCAAAATTCATCCATTGAGCTGGGACATCCAAGGATCCAAGGCGGATTTGGAACAACGCATCAATGGACAAAGCGCCTTAGATGGTGCCGCACAAGCCGGACACCTGCGAGTGGTTCCTTGGCTCCGGCCCGGGTCTCGCCGTGGTTCCGGGTGAAATCCGGGACCAAAACCTGGCGCAGATTCCCTCGAGATGACTTTGAAAGTCATCATCGAACTAACCTGGGAAACACTCTTTTTTGTATCTTTTTGGGGGTTGCTAAGAGAAGATGGTTCTCTTCGAATTAGCGATTTTCAAGTGCCGCACTTGATTGCCTCAAAGTACTACCCAGGTTTGTTGGTAATCTCAATCTTTTGGTGGCTAGAAAAGCAAGATGTATATCTCTTGAAGCCAGATGTATCGCTAGTATGGCTTTAACACATCAACGGGAAATGGCCAATTAAATCTTGGGGACCATGGTTTTTGACCGCTGGATTTTGATCATCATGGAAGCACCGTTCTGAACACTGGGCAACTGGACAAGCGAGAATTCACAGATGGAACCCGTGGGTTTGTGGGAAATCCTGGAAACCCCAACATCCAGCAGTTAATTACCATTTTGCCTGTTGACATACTCATTAAACTTGCTTTGTTGGAGGCATTCATCCTTTTCAGACACCCAAATAGATATCCATATTGTTGGTTTTATATGGTCTTATAACATAGAATATCTCCAGAGAATATCACCATTCATAGTTGATTTCCCTATGATTTCCCATGATATCTGATCTCCATTAAAAAAAAAACAATTTATGGCTTCAAAAACTCTTTTTCATACTTCGAAATCACCATCTTTTCGTTCAACTCAGTTCACCCATCATTCATTCCTTCAAATCCCTCAATTTTTCATAGTTAAACCATCCTTTCTATTGGTTAAAGCACCATTTCTACAGCTTAAACCACCACTTCCCCAGCGGTCCTCCATGCACCGAAGGCCGAAGCTCTGCTGGAAGCCCGAGCCTTGGCGCAGCAGACGGCCGTCGGACGCTGGACGCCGCTGATGCGGGCCTCGCAGGGAGGGCATCTGCAGGTCTGCGAGCTGCTGTTGAAGGTGCCATTTGGAGGGAAGGAGGATCTGATTATAGTGTATATTTATTCTCATATATACATATATATATATACATATACATATATATATATACATATATACATATATATATATATACATATATACATATATATATACATATATACATATATATATATATATGTATGTGTATATATATATGTATATGTATATATATATGTATATATGTATATATGTATATATATATATACCTGTATATATATATATACACATACATATATATATATACATACATACACACACACATATATATATATATATATACATGATATGCTGATTCATCTTTTGAACGTATTTGTATAAGCCCAGAAATCATGTGTTCTTTCCTACCAATGAAGCATGGGGCGGTTGACCAACATCTAAACGTGGGAGTTTTTCAGCAAAGATGGAGGTTTTGAAGCAAAAAAGGTGGGATCCCGAAGCGATTTCATGGAACATCCTATAAAAATGGATGCTTTGGGGGTAGCCCTATTTTAGGAAACCACCATTTGGCTATAACATTCAGAAATGTTGGGGGGTGAAGAAATTTAAGCTGGGATTAAGCAAAAAAGATGGACGATTAATTCTTACCCGGATTTTTTTTTAACCCACATGTTTTAAGTCTCTAAAAAGTGAATCATCCAAGTTGTTGGGGAAGTGAATCATCCAAGTTGTTGGGGAAAATTGGAGTTACAAAAACACATTGGGCAAACCAGAAAAAAACGGGGATGGTTTCTGGTTTTTATGGCGCCGATGCACCATGAGGGGTTTTACTAGCAAGAACATAGGGGGTTTATAGCAAGAACACTGGGGCTTTGAATCAATATGAATCATGGTGAAACATAAGGGCTTTAAGCGTTTAACCATTAAGCACTTAAGGGTTTTTGTCTCAAATTTGTGAGTGAATTTTTCAGCGACCCGTTTAAGACCGCCTCGCAGGCGGTCTTAGACCCATAGATTATGGCATTATTTTGTTTATTTCGGCATCATTCCAACACGTCCCACCAAAGGATTGTTTGGATTGGTGAAGCATTGATGCGGGGTCTGCCTTTTTTCACGGGTCTAAGAACTTTCAACCAGATCTCACCAACTAAGAAGTGGACACTTTGGCCCCTGCGACCTACAAAAAGAGCATTTCTTCAGCCAACAACTACCCTCTGGTAAACAAACAGTTTGCTATTGAAAATGGCCCATTTATAGTTGAATTTACCCATTAATAATGGTGATTTTCCATAGTTATGTTAGTTTACCAGAGGGTATCCAGTCTCCCAACCACAGCGTAGAATAGTAAAATAGTAGTTGCCCATCATATTAACTCCACTAATTCCCAACATCCAATTTCCATCCAAATCAAGATGGCACTTTCGTCTTCAGCCGTTGGCCGTAGGAAGGCGTGGATCCGGACGAATGGGCTGATCGGATGACGGCGCTGGACATTGCCGAGGACTGGCGTGGAGATGCGTGGGATAGAAACGAAAGAACTTGGGAGGGGATATTGATTTTTATTTTATATCAAAAAACTATAGTATATCTATATCTCTATACATATATATATATATCTATAGTATATCTATAGTATATCATAGTATGTCTATAGTATATCTATAGTATATCTATAGTATATCATAGATACAGGGTAGTATGTATATATATATAATTATACGGCCAGGCGCTGCGTGTTGCCCGGAAAGTTCACATGGCGTTTAAACACTATCCTTCAGCATGCTCAAACACCTGCGCAGGGCCAGTGTTTTGAGATTTCCCAGACGACGAACCCTAAACCCTAAATCCTAAACCCAAAAACCCTAAAACCTAAAACACTAAAACCTTAAACCCTAAAACCAAAACCCTGAAAACTTTGAATCCTAAACCTGAAAACTCTGTGTATATACAGTATTTTCTGCCATCTCTCCTATCTTATTCAACAACACGACATCCTCAATGTTAATGTCTGGGCAACACGCGGCGTCTGTGGGTAATTATATACAAGTATATGATGTAAAATATACAGAATCTGTGTTCATGTGCATTCTGCATATGTATATGTATATGTATCTGTGTATGTGTATGTGTATGTGTATGTATATGTGTATGTATATATATACCAGGTAGAATGTATAGAAATATCTAGGGCTGGAAGCATGGGGACAAAACACAAGGAATTTCTGGACTCTGGACACAACAAGGAATATGCCGAAAGAAGACGGGTTTGCATAGCATAGAGCAAACAGCATGTGGAACAAATGAGAGATTTGGATGGAACCAAAGCCACATGTCAGCATGCAGCATTTTTTGCACACATCCATCTGGAAAATCCTCACATATCCAATCTAAAAAGGTTCATTGGCTAAATCCAGTTTTCTGCTGGTTAAATCTTAATTTTTAGCGTTTTGACATGTTTTGAACCTTATAGCTCACAGCTCCAGCAACAATTTTGGGCCTTGTGGATGGTGTTCTTAGCCACCATCGGCATGGGGCTGATTCAGCCCCTGTTGGGGGTGTACTGCGCACAGGCGCATTCCCACCAGGGTGTCTTTGCGCTGCTGCGCAGCAAATCTGCGAAACGATTCCTGGAGCTGCCACCGGCCAAACAGAAGGCGCAGTGGGAGGTGCCGAAGAACAGTGGGGAGATAAACCACAAATGATGGTAGTGGGCTTATACAAAGTGATTCAATGGCGATTGTCGTGATCCGCTGCGGGGGGATAGAATTGGGGTGCTTTTCAATGGTTGCGGTTTCCATTCTCTTAGACTTTGAACTCTTTTTGAGGAGAAGTGTAAATGATAGATAATCCAGCAGAAGTTGAAGCAACTTCGCAGGTCAGCTGGACTCTCCCCAGCTGCCCCGGTGGCGTGCTGCCCAAGCCCCCACGACCGGCAGCTTCATCGGCACGACATGGCAGCAGAGGGGCCTGGAAGCCTAGTCTTGTGAGACATCAGTGGCTTCATCTGGATATGGGGGTTTCCATACGCGTGAAATCTCCAACAATGATTGTGATCATGATAAAACACCAACCAAAAAACAACACATTCAGGTGTGACGACGAGACACACCCGGGTACTGTCAAATGCATGGATGCAAGATGACGAATGCCGGATCGAATGCATACGAATGCATCCTCTCAGGGTGGAAACACAAGTGCCGATGGCACTGTGTATCTACTAAGGACGGAATGGCATGCTCATTTTTCTCTTTTTCCCCATTGGGGTAGTACTGTAACTTTTGAAAAGGACCCCAATAGGTGGATGGTTAATGATATCCTCCAAATAAATGGATGAGAACTGGGGGTCGCCCCATTTTAGGACACCACCATATGTTAGGATTGTGGGAATCATCCCCGTCCGGGTATCAATGGCCAAAACCCCACAAATTTGACATGTTTTTTCAGGAAAACGGGTGATTTTCCAACTCTTATGTGGCTTTTCTGGAGAGAAGAGGAGGCTTTTCAGGACTTCATCGTTTTTTTTGGTCGTTTGTCCGTCATTTTCTTGCCCCATTTTCTGGGTCCAAAAAGTACCATGTCCTAATGGTTTGGTGCCGGATGATCATCCGTCGCTGACTTCAGGTCTTGTGGGGATCAGCCGTGCTTCACTTATCGACCACTCGCATCTCCATTCCTGACGAAGATGAGGATTGAGCGAAATCCGGAAGCCGGGCTCTGTCTGAAAAGAAACGGCAGGCCCCATGAAAATGGCCATGATGGAATGGGTGAAATGATGGTCAAATGAGCTTTGAAACCATGGAAATTTGGTGCCTATTTTCAGACAAAGCCCCCTCTTGATTTCTGAGAATCACCTCGCAGCGGCGAAAAAGATCTGAGCGACCCACTTGGTGATTTTTCGAAAAGCAAGAGAGGTGGGATGGAAGAACCAAACATAGATATACCATCTGGTTATTTAACATAGCCATGGAAAATCACCATTTTCCACCACTATTTGGTATCGATTCAGAAGATGATTTTTGGGCGAAGCTGGGCTGGTAAGTCCCAAAAAGATATAGAACACGTGTGTAAAATTAAGTTGCCATTCTTTTTTGGTCGAAATTTACTTTTCTGCTATTTTTTTGTGAAGTTGAGTGTGATCTTAGGATTTCATCCAGAACTTGGTTTGTCTCTCTTCAAAACTTCCAGCAACCGCGATCTCCCTATGCTACCCATTGTATCCTGATCATATATAGCCATATTTTTGCTGGTGAAATCCACAGATATCCTCTGGTAAACATACATAACTATGGAAAATATGGAAAATCACCATTTATAGTGAATTTTCCCATGAAAAAATGGTGATTTTCCATAGTTTTTTGTATGCTTACCGGAGGGTATCCCCCCAAAAAAAACCCATCCATTCCAGTTGCACCTCCGATGAATTCTTCCATTGCCATGGCAGGTGGCGGGTGTCGTGTGCTGTCGCGTTGTGGGCGGGAAAAGCAGCGCTGTGGGTAAGAAGATGCTGTCGATGTCAACAAGCTATAGCAAAATTTAAATCCCCAAAAAGATAGAAAAGTAGATCCTGATGAAAATACTGAAGATTCGCTTTCCTATGGATTTGGGGGTTGCTGTAAATGATAATAGATGGTGAATTTCGAAGCAGTCCCTCTCTATTCCCCAGAGGACACTGTTGGTTCGTTATAACTCGTCTCTGGTGATCAAACTCGGGAATGGGAAATTCAACTTTTTATGTAATGGAAGACGTGTCTACAAGTGAATACAAAGAGGATATTGAAGATTACCAGAAGGTAACAGAATGGACAAACACCTCAATTCGCCCCAGGCACTCACAAAACATTGTAATCAAATAGTGAATCATTCTGGGATTCCTGAAAAGCTCAGGTGGGGGACCTGTGGGTCATTGAACAAGTCATCCTGAACCCTGACATCCAAACCCGAAAGCCTTAAACCCTAAACCCCATAGGCATTCAAAACCATGGACAAATCAAGGGAAAATCTAAAGCCAAAACACTTAAACCCTAAAACCCCAATTCTTGAACCCTAAAACCTTGGAAGCCTAAAGTGGTTGGTGGTTTGGAACATTTGGATTATTTTTCCATATATATCGGGAATAATACTCCCAACTGACGAACTCATATTTTCAGAGGGGTAGGGCTCAACCACCAACCAGTAAAGTGATGTTGGGCGTAATGAGGTGTTAGGGCGGCGTAACGTGGCTGTGTGAATCGAACCAATCTGTAACCAACATGATATCCCAAATCAGTGGAGAAAGGTGTCACAGGCTGGCATTTAGCAACAGCCAAAAAAATCCTACCAGACACTTTGAATAAACCTGAAGAAACCAAGTGGAAAATGGTGACATAAACGGTGATATCTAGTGATTTGAGAACACCCTGTCTAGTGTTTTTCATTTGCAAATCTTGGAATAAACCTAGAAATCAGGGATCAACATTGCATCTAGTCCAAGATTTGCACCAACGGCTGAGAAGACTAATCCAACTGCCAGGCGGAAGGGGTGAACTTTGGCCGCTTGGCAGGAGCCCTGGGGACGGCCGGAGTCTCCATGGAAACGATCGTTGGAGTAATGTGGGTAAAACAATGCCGTAAAGAACCCATGACTGGGAATGGTTTATACCATGTTTATACACATGTTTATACCACCTATTTATGGTAAACATATTTGGATGGTTTATGATTGTGTGACCCACACTTTGCAAGAGGAACTTTTTTCCAATCAAAAGATGAACAGTTCCAAAAAGGTCAATAGGAAGTTGATGATGTTGAAACTGGCTCAAAGCTCCCCCTGGTTTTGATAATGTGGATACGGCTGCCGCAGTTTACTCAATTTAGACACCGGAAAATGAGACGCTCGAATCCCCTTTACCCCCCCACAAGAGACCCTGGCAATCACTGGATCCGTGGCTTGTTGGGCTGGACATGCAGGAAGGATCATAGGGACCATTACCTCATTGTGAGCTTCCACAGAGGTCATTTTCCCACCACTTCGTGTTACTTGGTTTTCATCAGCTGATGCCAAAGCGACCACTCAATGCTGCGAAAATCATTTCAATGCTCCGCTCAGCTGGAAGGGACGGTGCCTTAATCTCCCAATCTTGTGAGATTTGCACTCCTTTACATACCCTCTGGTAAACTAACATAACTATGGACAATCACCATTTTTAATGAGTAAAATCCACTAGCCATTTTCAATAGCAAACCGTTAAATTACCAGAGGGTAGGTATTACATAGACCATACATATGTAAACTACCTCCAACTACCCCAACACCGCCGAAGCGAATGGGAGAATGTAATGGATCTGCCCGGATTTTGGCAATTCCATGGGTTTTGGCGCATCGAGTTTGATGATTTACCGGCTGTGTAAAATGTTAAATGGTGAATTTTCCATAAACTGTTCGTTTGGCAGTTTAAGTAAGTTGGTTTATACCATTTTACAACTCCAATACTTTGGGTACATAGATGTCTATAGTATATCAACGTATATATATATATGTATAAATTATGTGTATATATTATATATATATAATATCTAATATATATATCTATATATACATATAATATAATATAATATAATATAATATAATATAATAACATATATAATATAATATAATATAATATAATATAATATAATATAATACAATATAATATAATATAATATAATATAGTATAGTATAGTATAATATATATACACACATATCCCCATGACATTCCTATAGTTGGTAGATCCTCGTCTGACTCGCAATGCGCCCAGGAGGGATCCTGGCACGCGCGCTGCGTGAGGAGAGTGTAGGCGGAGTTCGGTGACAATTTGTGTCTGTGGTTCTAGGATGATCCTAGTAGATATCATATATATATATATATCATAGGATCCAGAACCAGACTAATTAGTTAAGTATGATATCTATGGATGTGGAGATTCATACTTAACTAGGACATCCATAGATATCTAGATCCTATAGTAGATCCTAATTAGTTAAGTATGATTATCCATAGAATCTAGAACTGTGATATCAGTCTATGATATTTGTATCATATATAGGATATTTGTGTAGAAGATTTGGTGAACATTTGCGTAGATATCATATATCTATAGTTAAGTATGATTATCCATAGTATGGATGATTCATTTTTCATGATATATCATATATCATGAAAAATGAATCATCCATACTATGGATAATCATACTTAACTATAGATATATGATATCTACGCAAATGTTCACCAAATCTTCTACACAAATATCCTATATATGATATATCTATAGTTTTGAGTAAGATTTATCAAACCAGTTGACACATAACTAGCAGCCAGCGCCTTGCAGGGGAAACAAAGTCAGCTTTTCAATTTCAAAGGCGATCACCACATTTTACTGCTTTGCACAACATATTTCACATCATCAAGAAATATACAGGAAAACCATAGTACGCCTTACCCTCTGGCAATTTAACATAGCTATGGAAAATCACCATCTATAATGAATTTTCCCATGAAAAATGGTGGATCTTTCCATAGTTATGTAAACGTTTACCAGAGGGTAACAGGATAGAAAAACCCACCACTACGATGCGCTTAGCATCGCGCATCGCCTTTTCCTAGGTCCTTGTGAGTTCGCAGGGATGACCATGGCACTTTTTTTTGGGGATGGTGAATCCTCATGGTCCCCATTATTCCAAGACACTAAGATAGAAGATACCCTCTGGTAAATTAACATAGACCCTGGCAGATAGGGGTTGGAAGACTAGTTTCCATTAAAAATTGGTGATTTTCAGGGTCTATGTTTATTTACCAGAGGGTATTCCCCCTATTATTTTACATGCCAACTTCTATTTGAAAAAAACGTTGAATATCTTCTATCTTAGTGTCTTGAGGTAAATGGTTCAACAACACCATTATTATCCCATGAATCTCATACATTGGTAAGCTATTCTATCCCTAATCCCATTAAATAATATTAAATTTGTTTCTCCCATGATGATCCCATGATTATCCCACTATCATCCCATTATCCCGTGTTATTTCATCCATTTTTGGAGGGCTGGAGAAGCACCCCTCCCTGCAGTTGTAGATGCAGCTGGTGCGGCAGCGGTGAGCAACGCCACCAAAGCCGTGGCGCTGGCCAATGTGCTGGCAGAGAGACAGGTGGAACGCCGTTTGGGCGATGAAAGATGGGACCCTGGGTTGAGCATTTCTTGAAACCATGTTTCTTGGCAATGGAAAAAACATACACATTTACAGATGATTTTCCCATTGAAACCTCCGTTTGGTAAGCGAACTGGAAAATCATCCTTTTGAAGTGGCAAAGCAACATAAATCACCTATCAATTTCGAACTTGGGCCTTGAGGAAACTGGAATGACCCAGGGGGCCTTCCAGTTTGCGGAACCAGGCCACAGCTCTTCGCTTAGCCTTCAAGCCACAAATGCACGAGGCTCCAGATGCCGATGGGAGCGACAGGCCGGGTGGGGTGACCACTGGAAGCTCCAATCGTTTTCAAACCGAAATTATTAGTTGGTAGACCTGCTTTGGGGATCTTTGGGGTAGTTGACATTCCGTTTTTTTTTTTACATCTTTGGTTCAAAAACCAATCCTGGTTGGTGGTTTGTTTTTTTTAAAAAATATTTTTCCAATTTTTTCCATATATTGGGAATAGTAACCCCAACTGACTAATATTTTTCAGAGGGTAGGTATACCACCAACCAGGTGCGGTTGTGGACAAACTTCCTCGCCGTCAGCGTTCCAGCCGTGCAGCGAGGAAAGTCTGTCGACTCTTGGTCCAAACGCGCATGCCCATTGTTGGTGAGGACACGGCGGTGCCATTGTGAAGCGTTGCCAGGCACAGCATTTTTGCATATCGGAGACCCCAACAAAACCATCCATTTACCCTCTGGGTAAGAATGGTTAAAAATGGATAAACATGGTTAATCCATGTTAATAATATTTAATAATGGTGATTAGTGATTAGTGATTAGTGGTTAGTGATTGACAACGGTTCAAAGTGGTGAATGGCACTTTCCCTCTGATCAAACGTGGGTGGAAAAACCCCCAACTGGAGGTTTCTGGGTTCCAGGAGCCAGCAGACTTCTCGAAAGGCGGTATCTTTGTATCCACCATGAGCTACGCCTCGCAGGAAGCGCAGTGGCCAGTGGCCGGCAGATTTCGGTGGGATTACGATGGTTTACCCTCTGGTTATTTAACATAGCCATGGTATAGATGGTCTATTTATAGATGGTTTACCGTTCTTAAAAATGGTGATTTCCCATGGCTATGTTAAATAACCAGAGGGTATATCTTTTGTAATTAATTGTGGATTTTGACCATGATTCTGGATGAATTATGACGATTTGTACAAAAGGGATTCATCGCCAAAGGACCGCAACGTTTCAGCTATTTTCAGCTTAGTGAATTATATAGTACAATTCAGCCAGATGATTTATATGATTTTATATACGTATATATACATATATAGGGGGTTAACTTGGTCAACTATCAAAGATATATATATATATATATACACATACGTATATATATATATACACATTTAAATTGATGCATGAATGTCGATGGTTGATTGGTGAATAATTTTGGTTAGATCTGATTTCTTGGGGATTCACCCATCATTTTCACAGGATACCCTTTTTCAGCAAGCGCTTTTTTAGGGGATGAGTCCAGTCCGAGAGGTTCATCCATGACATCCATCGATTTGGTCGTCAGGTCTCCGATCAACGGATCTCATGATCGTTCTCCTGGGCGGTCTGTGTATCATGGGCGATTTAGGACGATGACGTGACATTCATCGCATATCCCAAATTCTCACTGGTTGATGACAACCAATTTTTGTGCGCAATTGATTGGTAAAGAAACATGATACATTATCCATTTATTATACGTATAGATGATTTCCCCAGCTATAAACCTCCATTTAGTTCGGGGATTTTCCAGCCAGCCACTTTTGACTGTCAGAGGGTATACACAAATATATCCAGTAGACTCCATTATAATCCAGAATCCACTATAATTCATTGTAGTCCAAACAACAGATGGATTCAGGATAACCATAGGGTCATAGGGTTATTTTTTTTCTAAGCTGCCCAATATCATCTATTGATCTGAAAACCTTAGGAAAAATCACATGATAATGGATGAAAATGAGATAAAACGGTTCCCACATCTGTTCCAATAGCACTCATATTGAATCCATATTTCCATTAGATTCTATGGTACATGATATGTTCTCTAAGAAGCAAGAATCCATCTAATATTCAGATTATTATAGTTAGAGAATTATTCTTTATATAGTAACCACTTCTGGACATCTCATATCCATCTAATATTTCAGCACATTATATGTTCCAATATCAGATGCTACACCGTGACATTCTCCCGGGAAACATCGAAAAAAGGCGGAGCGGCAGAATCCAACGACATTGTCAAGGATCTGTGCGAAATGGGGCAGGTCGATGTAGGTGAATTGTTGGCTATGTAATGCTATGTATATCAATTGTATATAGATATGATATATATATAATGAGATTGTATACAGCTATGTAGGAATATTCATGAATATTTAAGCCAACCGTTAGAATCAACTTGTCAGGGACATCAAAGGTTCGACGTGTTTTTTGAACAACTTTGATTGCTATGTAGACAGCTGATCCACCCACTTCAGTGGCGATGGTTTCCCATAGCTCCGCTGGACCTAAATTGCTGTCAGGTCTTCGGACATTTTTTTTCTTCTGTGAATTTTTGTGATCTATATTTACCCATAATTATCCATAATAATTTTAATCCATATTTATCCATAATCCATAATTATCCATAATTTTTCGTATCCATTATCATCATTATCCATAATAATTTATAGTTAGTAAGCACTTCTGAACATCTCATTTTTTCTGCTGTGTTTTTTTGTTTAAATCCAAGATGATCCACAGCTTCCAAATTCCAAATGGTCAGATCGCTGTGTGGCCAAACGGCTGGCGAACGTGGCAAGTCGGCCATCGTGATGACTGATGACTTGTATACCATGGCATTCACAGTGAAAACTATAATGATCATTACCATTGATAGATGGTGATCATTTTGTTTATTTATGACCATGTGATCTATTAATGGGTGAACATCAATTTTAAGTGATGTTCACTGTTTCTAGATAAAGCCCTTGATGGTGATCACTATGCTGATCCTTATTGTGATCACAAAAATAGCATTCATCTGAAACAGGGTAGCCCAATTTTTCGTCACCACCATTTTGAAGGGACCGAAAAGGTGAGTAAATAATCTAAACAGGCAACTCATGCAACGCTGGGTTGCGACAAATACTGTTTTTTTTTTTACCTGTTTCAATAACCATCCAACCGTTTTGCTTGGTCGAAGCAATGGGTTATCTGCATTCTCCCATGGTTGTCCCTACTTTGCAAATGCTTCGAACAACGACAAAAAGCATGACAACTAAACTATGACAAATAGCCTATTCCATAGTATACCTTTTTTGAACACCTTTTCTTTTCTGGGTGTGTCTGAAAATGTGCTGCAGCCCCAACAATTTTAACGATGTCTGTTTTGGGAACATGATCATTAAACAATAATGACACATCATATTTGGGGGTATTATCATAGAATTGGATGATGGGAAAATTTTTAACCGGTTTAAGCCCTATATTTGATGGTAAAAACCAGGTTTCCGGTTAAGATTTTCCCTTAAACCAATCCAATGATATTATCATAATGGGTTCCTCAAATTTTCAGACAACTCCAGGACCGCCCTGGGCGAATGGATGCGCTATGCCGCCCCGGAACTGCGACAGGCACATGGCGGAACTGGGGCGATGGGGGATCGGTTGAAGCAATGTGAGGGACACTTAAACGGTAAAGTTTGGGTTGAAGCGTCAATTTATGAATAGTTATATATAATTAAGTTATAATAGTTGCATGGGATAAAATAAATTTAAGATATGATTGAGGTCTAACCACCCAAAATGGAAGTCTAATCAATAAGAATGGGGATGTAAGATGATTTAAGCATCAAAATTTGGATTTAACGCCAGCAGCAAACAACACCTATGAATCATGGTTGCCCCACAGCCAGGAACAAGGGACTCTCTCTTCGGTTCACACGGGGCTCCTGCTTCACATGTGATCATCCTCTGGTTGGTGGTTTGGAATGAATTTTATGACTTTCCCATACTTCCCATCATATTGGGAATTTCATCATCCCAACTGACGAGTTGTCCATCATTTTTCAGAGGGGTAGGCGAAAAACCACCAACCAGTCCTGGTTTTGGTTGGTTGGTGCCTGACTTTTTGAAGCATCAACAAGTGGAGGAGTGATTTCCCAAAAATCAACGACCAGGGCCAGGGCCCCATCAATCCCATGTGAAAAATCCCTTTTGCGGACGATTCATAGCCCTTATCCGAGTTGTAATCCCCATTGTTGATGAGAACAATCCCGCAACACTATCCCACTACTATCCGCTAAATGTTTTTATTGTTATTTTTAAAATCAAGTTTTGTCAGTGCAAACTAAAGCCCTATAGCCCCTATAGCTTTGGGCCAACGTGTGTTCATTGATGAACCGGGAAACAAAACCAGCAGGTTGCTGAGAGTGCAACCATGTAACTTGACCATGGCTATAGATGTGGCGAACCTTATGCTTCAGGGTCAGGCTACGGAAAGATCTCTGGAATCTGTTGCTGTTGCTGAAATCCAATTCTCGTATAGATATATCATATACCACAGTTTAACCAACAACGAGATTCATTCATGCGAATTACCTACGTAGTATTTACACAACTCCAAACTTAGGGATGGTTGGATGCATCCATGCATGTAGGCTTTTTG